CGCGTCCACCCTCCAGAATCGGCGTAGACTAACAGCTGGATCATTGATGCTACGGGATGTGTTAGAGCCCCATGCCGACGGGAGCGCGGAGTGCTTCGGCGGAGCTCCAGCATCTATCTAATCATGGTAAGCCTACGCCATGGTGGTAAAGCCGCTGCTTCAATTGGTTTACAACGGACGATTACGGCAGCGCGGCGGGCATGGGTGATTTTACTTGTCAGTCCAAGCGGGAGAGAGAGCCGGCTGTTGGCTTGTCACAATGCGACACCGTCTGCGGGGACCATTCTCGCCGACCAAGCCTTCAAGACCGGCTCTCACTGGTTATATCTGGCCAGTATTCCTCTGCCACGGTGAACTTGGGCCGTTCGCAGGGTAATGATCATCGCCAGGGCTGAGCTAGGTCTCCTCGCGTCACGGGGTCTGGGCTACCTATACTGGCGAGCTAAGTGGTGGGAGCTTCATCGGCTTGCATAGAAGGCTCTCAAAATGTCGATGGCTGATGTGAAGCGGCACCCTTCAATTTACCATTTTGCTCAGATGGGAATGTCAACTTGAAGATCCTATAGACCAACTGGACCGCCAGCCCGTCCTAATGCCTTTAGCAGGAGGCGTGGCGTTGCCTTGACGCGGCGCTAGAAACAAACGGCTTTCGCTTTTCCTGGCTCAAACCCTCCAGCAGGGGGGTCCTGATAAGCCAAGCACTTTTGTGAATTACACAAGGTTCTCAATCTGATATTTCCGGTTCCTGAGTCTCGATAGTTTCAGTTTCACAACCTCTCTTTGGTCTGTTCGTACAGGCTTGTGCTGGGCTCTAATCGCTGGGTGGCATCACGATATGGCTCGCGAAGGCTGCCGTCTGGTTTCGCCCTTCGCTAGCCGATTGCAATTTTGTCTCCTAGACCACACTACAGACGCCCTGATGCGGCACCTGGTCAGGCAGCTTTACGTTGCGCAGTTGGGCTAGGCGACCGGATTGGCACGGCCACATTCGCGATCGCAAAGAAGTGATAAGTCATCCGCTCTAATTGAGCCCGAACTCGGCTCTATGCCATTCTTCGTTGGCGCTGCCGCCACGCTGAAAAGTGCCGAGCTCTCTGAACGACTTGTCTGGCGAATCTTTGCGAGACTAAGCTAGGGTCTTGCCTTGTTAGAGTTCCTCGAAAGCATCTCTCGGCGGTTCTCTCGTATCATCTAAATTTGTTACATTTGATAAGCTCCGCGCTGAGAGCCAAACCTCAATTATGCTTGACAGCCTCGCTGAATGTGATTATTCAGAACAAAGGAACAAAATTTGATGTTCAGCAAGCAGAAATCAGCAAACGGTTGGGGCAGGAATCCTTGCTGCGATATTGCAGGTGCTCTCTGTCAGAACCACCCCCCATGCTAAGATCTCCTTAGCATTTACACCGATGGGTCTACACGTGTGACTGCAAGGATATGGGCCAGCGCAGATAGAACCCAACCCCACAAGGATAGCTGGTGATCTACGCTCGCTGTAACCCACTGGCTAGGCCTGAACTGTGGCCGCGCAGGCATTCCCAAGTTCGTGGAACTGTCTCAGAAAATGCGCTCTTGGATGGTTTCTCGTGGAAATAACCTCAAAACGAGAATGCCTACCATGGCCCAAGTCACCAAATTCAACACGGCCACGCAATCTCAGCTTCTCCAGATCCAGCCGCTGACGTCCCGGCTATTCCCTCTCCAGAAGTCGATTCGAGCTGGAGAGATAAGGTGGCATCTAGGTCTAGCCTTACGCGCCCTACGTCACCGCGCTTACCTATATATCGAATCGGAAATCTCGAGATGGTGACCAGAGGTCCAGCCGGTTCCCCACGCCAGTGAATTGCTAGTGTTAAAGAAGTCATGGGGCTCTCAGACACTTGTGAGGCAGAAAACCTAATGAACAGAAGCTATCAAACAGCCACTGTCGATCTGGCATCGGCATTCAAATTCGAGTCGTGGGAACTCTACTAGCCCAGAGAGGTTGCGTGACCAGTTGCGTGACCTCGAGTGCAGGCTGCTAGTCGGAGTTTCTTGAAATATCACCGTCGCCAGCGGAAGTGCAGGAATGGCGGCCGCGCTGTTAGTCTCTCGGGGTTCCGACTGATAGGAAGACATGCTCGCAGACGCTCGCTGACGAGAATGCTACCCCATCTGTAAGCACAGATATCTTGCTCGTCACTGACTTGTCCCAGTACACATCCGACATACCCGACTTTAGATCAACAACGCGTAGCCTACTTTAATCTCTTGACTTTGCTGCCGCGTCATAGCCGTGGGTAAATTTGACGATGTGTTCTGGCTAACTCCGAAACAAGGGAGCGCACACCAGGGCAAGCTGTGATTCTAAAGCTATTTTCAGGTCGCCCAATATTAGGAGCCGACTATTAAGTCTCCTGAAGGCGGGAAGTGCAACAGAGCCATTATGAACCTGACATGCATGGGAACTTGCGTCCGCCGGATTGAGTTGATTGGAACTCGGCCGAACCCCACAATCCATCGCCAAGATGGCCACACCCTGAGAGCCATTCTTATTCTCGAGAACAAAGGATTGGGGACGCACGGTTATGCCCAAGGAAAGGAAATAAGGTTCCTGGCGAATTAATCAATTCCCGCAGAATCCCTGCTTCCGACTCAGCTCTTAGCGGGGATAGAGCCTGATCGGCTGTTTTCAACGTGAGGTGGAGAGACCGCGCCCAAGAACGTATATCTTCGAAATATTTTATTGTCGATATTGAGCCCGAGAGCCATCGGATAGCAAGTAAATGTTTGGATTTCTCGTATTTTTGAAATTAATTGATCCCAGCCGGTCTAGAGCAAGCGTTGTGGTAAGTTACGGAGGAGTTGTCAATGGATGACGGGCGGAAAGCCAACAGTGCTGTGTTACGGACAGATTTCCTTGCGCTGATCATCGAAATCACTCTATTGCAGAAATATTGGGCCTTCATAGGACATTGAATGTAAGTTTGTAATCATTCGGTTCTGCCACGAGGTTGTCCTACCACGCCTGTGCCCGGAACGTGAATATGTCATGCAGCCAGCCGTAATACAGAGCTGTCGCCTTCGAGTACGGGGTCTGTTCTGCTCGCCCTTGCCACCAGAGGCAACACAACCTTTTTCTGTTAGTGCTACAATAGAGAATAGTAGCTTTTGAGGATGAACGCTACACAGCGTCTGCATTCTGCGCGACGATGTAAATCATCTTCGTTGAATTTGCAGACGGACTCACTCTGTGCAACGCTCTCAATTGCTCCCGATGGCTCGAGCCATGTCTGACTGTTTTCTATTGCATCATCAATCTGTGAAATTTCAATTTTGGGATGTAATAGGCGAGTTGTGCCGGGAGGCATGGACAATATCGTATAGCATTTTTTGTCGAAGACGAGCGCGAGAAAATAGTGTTCTCCCCATCTGCTCCAGATGCGTAACAATGAATCAGGCAGTATAACAGTGGCAATTCTTTCCTTTAAAGATATAATCTGGCCGTCTCGTAAACGGTCATTGAAGTTCTTCCATTCTCAATATTGAATTCCCGATGGTGGATTGCCATTGATTTGGAAGGCGAGCAAAGGCTGGAGGCCAGAGCTACTACGTTTGGCGCCCCAATGCCTCTCTTTTAGACAGGATCATTATCTAATATATCTGTATACAAACATTCTGGATTAGGTTTGGTCGTCTTAGATACATCTTAATACCGTGTCACGACAGTTCATGTTGCTGTTCTTGGTGGCTGCCCTAAGATTGGCGCCACTGACTGAGACTACATTATAATACTGAATAAGGCACACGTGTCGCAATACTCGAACCTTGGATATCCAAGATTGTTGAAATGAAATTTTAGCAGGTCTTTCTCTATTCTAATCACAATCTCGGGTCTATAATTATTTTGTGGCAGAGCCGAGAACATTCTCGCGCAGCTTTTTCTCTGTGCTCATGGTAAGTATACCAAAATGCAGTCCCATGGAAAACAAGACCTTCACGCTAATCCTTGGAGACTATACAGTCAGACTATTCGACATATAGTCTTAAATCTATTCATATGGATAGTTGACGCTGATTTGCCATTGCAATGAACCCGTTAAGCGCCGCGAAACCAACGAAACAGGGGCCTCTTTCCCACCCCCTATGCCTCACTGCTTCCTTTCAGCCATCAAGTATACGTGTTGATCATACAACATTGGTTTGAGGCAGCGAGTGAAGGCTTTTGTTGTTGTAGGTGGGACTCGAAGCTCATACCTCCAATGCGTTATCTCGGGTCCGCCTCACATATTGAGAACTTACCTTTGATTTTAGGGCAATCACGTTACTGAATCAAGCAGCCAAGGGCTACGGAGAACTATAATAATGAAGCATCAAGACAATTGATAAAACGTCATGATGTAATGAGGTAATCTGATCCATTCCGATTGCTAGAGAATGGAGGAACTGCGGGTTTGCCTGGAAATGCCATCAAATGCATACGTGATGCACACAAGTTCATTTCTTATCAAGATACTAACCAATTTCCATGAACCTTGACGGACGACACCAGTATGATATACATATTTAGCAAAAGTCACGAAATCTGGTGATTGTTTTGAGTTTTGACTCCATAGCAAGTCGGGCGGAAGACAAGAGGAAAAAATCCAATTATGTTAGTGGAATGGCACCCGATATCTTTCACAACAGCCAAGAATGACACACAGCTCAAGAGACTTGGTTTGGCCATTGAGCAATGGCTTAATGGGTTGGGCCAGGGCTATACTTAAGTCACGACCGAAATAGCAAATGGCAGTGTGATAAAGTGAAGTTTGAAGACTGTAGTTCAGTTTCCTTAGTCTATGAAGTGTGGTAATGATCATACAGTGCAAAACGCCGTTCCTCCGCCTGAAATCCCATCGCAATGATGTAAAGAAAATCATGATTACAATGACCGGTATCCTGTCCTTAGTGCACTGAACATATTAAAACATAAAAATGTCAGACTGCTGTCATCTTCTATTCTGTCTCGCTTCATCTAATTATGCTCCGAACAAAGCCTCTCTGATGAAAGACCCTAGTTGCTTGGCCTGCACATATAATTAGTATTGTGCGCCCCATGTGTTGGGAAATTAATAGACTTACCAGGTCACCATGCATCATAGAGAAGTGATTGCCGGGCATATGCCTGAGCGTCATCTTCTTAGCATCAAGATACTCGTCCCATCTGTTAGGACCAAAATCCGTTCGGTTGTCAAGCAAGAAGAGCGCATGACCAGTAGGGTAAGGATCTGGGCGCGGATCGGTGGGTAGATGGCACACGCCATCCTCGCACCATATGGCCATAACATTGGGGCATTTATCTTGGGGAATCGGCTCCGCAGTGTAATTGCTCAGCGCGGTGACCGAAGCCGCGAAGTGCGGCAGGAGCCAGGACGGGATCTTGGTAGAGTCACCGTCACCGAGAAGTCCGATCGAAGCGAACCACGCGTGTAAGCCCTTTGGGAGTGGTTCGATTGTGATAGGACATGGCGCATCGATGATGATCAGGTTATCAACTTTCTCGCCCGCTTTGGTGAGTTGATTGACGATCTCGTAAGCGATGACGCCGCCTGCGGACCAGCCAGCCAGACTGTAGGGGCCAACAGGTTGTCGGCGCTTCATCTCTTCAATGAACTTGGTTGCCATACCGTATACACCACAGTGATACTCCTCTGGCGTCTTCATGAAAGGAGAGAAAAGGCCCCAAACTGCCCAGTCGGCAGAGTTGATATCAGATATCTCCGTGTACGACGTGGCGCTTCCGCTACCGTCAGGCACCATGAAGAGGTGCTTGATGGCTGTGCGATGGCTTCCCTGGAGCAGCACAGAAGTTGCCTTCCGGTGCGGGTAGTTGTCTACAATGTTGATTGGTGGAGGCGCCTTGACGATAGAAACAGGGACTTCGCTAACGGGCGTCTCTGCGGGTTGAGGCGCAGGCTTGATTGTCTGAGTCTTGGATGGCTTTGGAGCAGCTGGGCGTTTGGGGGCCTCACTGATTCCAAGAGTACGCTCAACATCTTTGAGTGATGGATTGGTTACGAAGAGGTCTGAAGGAATATTGAGACCTGTCTTCTCGCGCAGCGTTCCCAGGATTGACAGACTCATTAAGGAGTCCATGCCTAGGTTAGCCAAGTCCGGAGCGGCGATCACTTCTTCGACCTCGATGCCCATTTCCTGCGCAATGGTCTCGCGCACGATTGATTGAAGTCCGCTCGCATTTGAAGGTTCAGCTTTTAGTTGACCGTCTCCCTTGATTGAGCCCGTTTCGCTCTCATCAAGAGGTGTAGTAACATTGGAGTCGGACTCCATCAGCTCTGGGGTGTCCGTGTCAGAACTGGAATCAGCCGACTCCTCAGACAAACTCTCTTTGCGAGCAGGCGCAGTTTCGAATTGTTGCAAGAATGCTTTGAATGCTCCAATAGTTGGGTGGTCGACGAAAGCGTGAGAATGAATGTCAAGGTCCATGTCTTCACGGATTCTACCACTAACAGTAAGAGACATGAGGGAGTCAACACCGAGATCGGTGAATGCGATATTATCAGCGAGCTCGTCGTGAGTCACACCAACCTCCTTTGCTAGGATGTCTAATACTTGAGAAACGACGGATGTGAGTTTCTGGTTCACTTTGCCGATGTTGGTTGGGCTGAGGGGCTGCTGTTGCTTCTTCTTCGAGGCCGGCACCGACTTGGGCGCAGCCTTCACAGGAGTAGAACGAGTAGCTGAGCCAATGGCTGCGGCACCGCGTGGAGGAAGAATCATGTTAAGGACCTTGCGGGGTATAGATTGGAATCTGACTTCCCCTGCAATACCAATAAGCTTATCTCCGTTGAAAACGTAGACATCGCCAGACATCATTTTGCTGCCTCTGACCTGCTGCATCCTGATGTAGGTGCGGTACTCCTGACCACGAACAGGAATCTCAGCGAATCGCATCGAACCCCAGCCATGGGAGATGAAGACTTGCTCTCTAGAATCAACGGCATCAGTACCATTGATGATAAAGCCAGAGATGTGGCACAAGCTGTCGATATGGAATGGGCTGCAGAAGTATTGGCCTTCTGTCTCCTTTGTTTGGAAGACGACCTTAGCAGTGGCCTCGCAAGTATTGCTATCAAGTACAACCTCCTCCATGCCTCTGTATCGTCCGTCATAGTCAACGAGGGCGGCGAAAAGCTTGTAGGCGAGACCTCGGCCAATCTTGGAAGCCTTGCCTACCTTCTCTGCCTCCATCAACGAGTCGACACGGCCTTTGATCAAATATGAGACGCGTTCGAACTCGCCGAGCCATTCATCTGTATTTCCGTAGTAAACCTTGCAATTGGCATGCTCAGTTTTCTTGGCGCCTTCACCAGTCGACCAGACTAGATCAGCGTAGCCGGCAGCGACGTTTGCCGTAGCAGTAAGTCTCAAGACGTGACTTTCAAGCGTATCATCAAAGATCAAAGTCTTGGGCACTTCCATGTGCGCAACATTGCAACCAATGTTCTCCGCGTCAGGGCGGATCAGTTTATACGCGTAGTCACAGACAGTCATCGCCATATCACCATACAATGATGACGGACAAAGAGGAGCACCATTGACCAGATGACCAGAGACGGCCAGTCGCAGGTCTTCTCTGGAGAGATTGGACTCAATCTCAACAATAGCGGTGTCTCCGTTGACCTCTTCCCGAAGAAGTTTCTGAACAGAGGAAGTGGATAACTTAGGCTTAGCTGGCTCGAGAAGCGCAGGTGCGGCCTTGGCCACACGATTCTTGGTGAGACACCAGTCGCCCTCATACTGCAACCAGTATTTCTTCTCATCGAAAGAATAACTTGGCAGATCTAGAAGGCGGACAGAATCGGCGAAATCGCGGTGAAACTCGTTAAAGTCTATGTTAAGACCCGCGGTGTGAAGAGTGCAGAGACTGGCGGTCAACGTCTTATAGGATGCCTCATTGCGACGGACGGTGGGCAGGGCGATGGTTGTAGCTCCAAATGCTGCTTTAACCATGTTGGCACAAACAGGATGAGGACCAAGCTCAAGCCAGACAGTCTTCTCGTCAATTGCTCCGGACTGCTGGGCGGAGACAAGGCCGCCGAGGAAATCAACAGCCTCTCGGGCATGATTGCGAACATACTCAGGATTAACTGGCTCCGACTCAATCATCTTGCCTAGTAGGGGAGAAATGACGGGAACCTTTGGAGTCTCGAAATGAACAGACCGAGCGAGCTTCTCGAATTCATCAAGAATAGGCTCAACCTGGGCAGAGTGGAAGGCAAAAGGCACCTTGAGTTGGGTGCACTTGAAGCCAGCACCGCTCAAATGCCCAGATATCTCCGTCATTTCGGCTGCCTCACCACTGAGAACCGTCTCTCGTGGACCATTGATACAAGCGACATTGACAGAATCGGATCTCTCGCCAAGGGCTTCCTTGACTGTTGCCACACTGCCCTGAACTGCCAGCATTGCGTGGGTGCCAGCAGTGCAACTATCAACAAGAAGCTGTGCTCGGGCTCCAACGAGGTAGATCGTATCGCTAGCCGACAAAACACCAGAAATATTCAGCGCGGCATACTCTCCTAGGCTGTGGCCAAGCACGACAGCTGGCTTGATACCCCAAGAAACCCAGAGGCGAGCTAGGGCCATCTCGAAGCAGCAAAGACCGAGCTGTACAATGACAGGAGACAAGCTAGAAACATCTTGCTCACTGCCATCTATGAGAGGTAAGAATGATGGAAAGCCATGTATCTGAGCAAGTTGGTCAAACTCGTCGATACTGTTTTTGAAGTTGGTGTAGTGGGCATAGAATTCCTTGCCCAAGCCAGCGTATTGTGAGCCTTGGCCAGTGAACATGAACGCTACCTTGGGTTCTTCTGGAGAAACAGGAACGAAGGTTTCTTTAAGCCTATTTGTAATAGCAATCTGTGCTTCTGGCAAACTAGAAGCAGCGATGTTCATTCGCCAGTAATGTTGAATCTTGCGCGCTGTGGTGCTGTAGGCAAGATCAGAAATAGGTGTATCTGAGTGCTTTCCCATCCAATCAACAAGCCGTTCGGCGTTGCGGATCATGGCTGCCTTTGATTTGCCGGTCAAAGTCAGAATATGCACATCACGAGGATCTGTGGTTGCTGGCTTATATTTGGGACCATCTTCAATCAGCAAGCCAGTGTTGCCACCTGCTGCACTGAAATTATTGATGAAGACACGTCGAGGTTTGCCATCTCTCCGCCTAAAGGGAGTCATATGAAACGCAATGTTTACGTTGCGATCCGAGAGATCTTTTGGAAAAGTCTTGTTGATCTCTGAGCCAGACTTGATGCCCACATGAGGTGGAATAGCATTCTTCTGGAGCATCATGAGAACTTTGACGAGTGCAGTAACGCCAGAGGCAGCCTCTCCATGACCGACATTAGCTTTGACGGCACCGAGATAGAGAGGCCGGTCCGCTGGTCTCTTGCGATGCGCAGGTGCGAAGACATTAGTGACAGACACCATCTCGGTTCCGTCACCGGCTTGAGTTCCGGTGCCGTGCATCTCGACATAATCGACGTCTAGAGGGTCAACACCAGCTTCGTCAAGGATAGCAGAAGACAGGATTGATTGCGTTGGCCCGTGTGGATGAGTGATGGAGATGGCGTCGGCAGAGTGATTTGTAGCAGTGCCGAGGATGACAGCAAGCACGTTATCCTTATCAGCGATGGCATCCTCAAGGCGTTTGACAATTACAGAGGCACAGCCGTCACCTCTGCAATAGCCATCAGCCTCATTGTCGAAGGTAGCACAAGGGCCATTCTTAGATAGAAATTGGCCGCGACTCAGACCGGAGAAAATATCCGGATTGGTCATGCACGACAGGCCGCCTACGATGGCAGTGTCGCAATCTCGTGCCCACAGGGCCGTACAAGCAACTTGCATAGCGGCTGCACTTGACGAGCATGCGGTATCGATATTGAGACTTGGCCCACTAAAGCCAAAGTGGTAGTTGATCCTACCAGGGCCAAAGGCACGCACACCTCCAGTTATGAAGTATGTGTCTACCTCCTGAGCGGCGTTGATTTCGCGCCAGTCATCTGAGGTTTGCCCATAAAAGGTGCCGATGCGGTCGAGCTTTGTGGAAGGTGTTCTGTTTGGAACATAACCAGACATTTCCAAAGCCTCATATGCAGTAGTCAATGCCATTCTCTGCATTGGATCCGTCTGGAACGCCTCTCTCGGAGACATGTTGAAAAAGCGAGGGTCAAAGAGACCGGGATTCTCAATCCAGCAGCCATAAGGCGTGTGGCTGGTATTGATGGCCTTGCCCGTAGGGTCAACATGTGTCCTTGCATCAAATCGATCTTTAGGCACCACCCGATGAACATCAAGGCCTTTTTCTAGCAACTCCCAGAGTTTCTCGTGACTTGCGGCATCGGGGAATCTTCCAGCCATTCCTACAATCGCAAGCTTGCATTTTCCTGAGGAGCCATGATTACCAATAGTGGAAGTGATGCTCTCCCTTGATATCTGTGGTGGGTTCCGAAGAATGACATCGAGTTGAGTATGCGATTTTAGAAGGTTTGCTAGAGTGGCAGCATTTTGCGTAGGGCCAAATGGAATGACCAGTACCGTCTCCCCATTGAAGTCGCGTGCCAAGTCGAGACATCCATCAAGTACTTGGTTGAACATCAGCGCTTCGTTCAAGATTTCATAAACAATGGATCTTATGAGATCTTCTGTCTGTGTTTCTGCAAACCAAGTCCCTGTTGTGCAAGACATAACGGCGGAACGCGGTTTGGTGTTGTATAGAGCATCAATAACCTCGGGGTCGTCAAGACGGAGCATCTTGGCAATATCTACAGAAGAATGTATGTGGGAAGCATGATACGGCCCAAACACTGGGATAGAGGTGGGCTTCGTCGAGAATGAGCTATACTCGAATAACGCTTGCAAAGTCGCAGGTGGGCCGGATACAGCGACGTTGCTTGCCGAGACGGCGCTGACATATGCGCGAGCAGCCAGAGGAGTTCCCTAGACAATGTTCAGTGTCTTCTGTTTTCAGAGCATAGGATTAATTGCTTACATTAGCATGGTGGAATTCATCGAGAATAAGTCTCGCCTGGTCTTGCTTAACTCCAGGGAGAATGTATGTCCAGCTCTGAGAGCGCTGAACAGATGGGCATAGCCTCTCGGCCAGAGAGGCTACATGACGCCCGGTACGGAAGGCCATCAATACCATCTGGACTGCAACCGGAACGAGGGCTGAGAGAGAAGGAGTTGATGTAATAGCAGCAGCAGCAAAGAGGCCCGAACAGAGACCAACAAGAAACGTATGATCGTGCTTCGTGACATCTTCGTAATGCCGTTCGGCATGGCTGTAGAGGTATTAGTCCGTCAGCCAGAAGGAAAAGGGTGTCCTGGAATGCTTACTCTATGTAGTGTGCTAATTGGGCGATACATAGCAGAGCGCCGTCGACGCCAGGATGTTTGTTACCCTGGGCATAGTATCTTTCGTTCAACTGCTGTAGTGTCAGAAAGGCTGGAAGCTTCACTCGCTCCACCTTCGGTAGTTGATCAATCTCTTTCTTCAATCTTCGGCCTGCCTGTTCGAGGAATGCCTTGGCTAGGAGGCCCTGGTTACCGTGTCGAAAGAATTCCGCCAGGAAGCCATGTGTATCAGTCGACTGGTCTCCAAATAGGAGATAGGCCACCTTGTCAGCCATGGTGAAGGCCTTTCAACATATGTGCTCTGGAGATGGAACGCAAGCAGGATAGCCCTGAAAGAAGTGCCCTTGAACTTATATATGAGATACTCGAGTCGGTTGTCCGCTGATTGAACCCAAAAATACCAGGCCAGCTGTCATATGCGCCTGGCCATAAGGTATAATCCTAGTTGCACTTGCTAAGGGCGTGCGCGAACAATCAAGGGTTGGTAAACGCACCCCCTTCATCCCTCCATCCTTTTTGCCGGTGGTAATATTTGCAGCCCGGCGCTGCTGCTCTTCGGTGACCGAAGGCTCATGAATGATGATCAAGTACTTTCCGCTTTTGGCGAAGTCTACGGTAGAACACAGGGCCACCACTCGGGCTATCTCGTGGAGACAAGTCAGACCGGACCCAGAAAGCAGGCAGCACATGTAACGGGAGAGTCCAAGCAAGGGTTTCCGCACTGATGCTGTGTCCACAATACACAGCCATGACGTTGTCAACCCCGTATTGCAGCAAAACGGTCTTCCAGAGTCGTCCCGAGGCCCAGCCACCTTTGAACCTCCAAGACAGCAGATGGCACTACGCCGATGAAGAGCAATAATTGGCAACATAAAGACCCAAAGGGCCTGAATCCGTAGTCAAGAATTTGCTGGCAACGCTTCTTTCAATCCCAATGTTCCACTCGGTTCGCAAGGGATATGCGTGGACTTACACAGGCAATGCTGGCTTGAACACCAATTTGGAACACTAAACCCTGCAAAAGGGCAATTTACAGCACAAGTCTTGTAGCCAAAGTTCCGATGTCCCTAATCGTGTGCATCGATTGTCCTTCAGGGCTGTGAAGAGTGGGCCGCTGCTCAGAACGCTGGTCCGGAGTCCGGACATCCCCAAGGCACATAGCGAGATGAGCCACCACACGCGACCTCGACTGCTTCAAAAACATCGAGATCTTGAGCAACCCCCTCTTCTAGCGAATCGAGCCGTGATTTAGCCGCGGATCATGGGCCATGATTCCATTGCTTAATGGGTGTTGTACACTTGTTCACGAAAAATCGCGACAGACGTTGGTGGGAGCAATCCCCAATTGACGTTTGAGATGGGGGGCGGAAACGAGCCTCACAAACAGGGGCGGGAGAAAGTAAAGCCCGTCAACCCGCATCCTAGACTAGTCGCACGCAACCTCAGTGATAATCGTACTCCCTGTCAGTCAGGGATGTCTTTGCCCGCGCCTCCAGCTCGGCGATTATGAACCGAAAAAGAAACGTACTGAGCTTAACGTCAATGGCACCGATAGCCAGATACGAGGACAATGAGATCTTCAGCGCCCTGGAAAGCCTCCCAATAATACAAAGACAGCTAAATGAAGATCATTGCCAACAATATCAAATTCACAGCCCTTGGTGATATACACCTCTTGATCACCAAACCTTCTTCCTCACGGTGAAAAGAGGCCATTGAGTGATGTCGGCCTGCGAGTCTCCCGTGATACTGTGGATGCACACCCATCATAATATCCTACGGTAGAATACTATCTAACCTAGAAAATACTGTGCTCGTTGGAGAAGCGGTCATCATGATGTTCTGTAAACTTGCAAATGTAACGGCCGCCCTGGCGCTATAACAAGCCACTTAGACGGGACTTAGTAACCGAGAGACGGTACCGGCGTGATACAATTTCCAATCATACCGCCTTCGACTCGCACTAAATTGATGCTTAGAAATCTAGGTAGCTCATGAATCTAAGTGATCCCGTCGTCCCGATAACTTAAATCCAGTGCGATAGCAGTATACTGATCCCAAGTTACCAGGTTGTCAATTCATTTCGCCAGGTTCATACTGCCTCATCAATCCCAGTGCCGTTCCCGAGCCGCATACCAAGACGACCGGCCGCAGAAAGTTTTGATCAAGCCCGCTGTATGACTGGACGTAAGAGGCGTACAGACAGGTGTATGCCTGCAGGAGCCCAGTGATAGAGCGAGGAGCGCCATCCGCCGCCGCGGTCTCACAACTATATAAGTCAAGTGAGGGACTTGAGCGAGACATTTGATTGGATCCCTTCTGGAAACGAAACCCTGCATCCGGCTGTACGATAGAGTCCGACATCTCTGTTGCCAGAACTCGGTAGCATCCGGTAGGGAAAGCTAACAATGGAGCCGAAATCCAGGCCGGAAGGTACAGAGCGTCGCCGCACTATTGAAAGTTATGAATCATCACAACGCAGAGAGGGCGGTGAACGGCGCCTCTGCATCTCTACTCACTTAGGTGCAACATCTCATGCTGAATCGAGGCTGATGAGTAGACATTCAACATCAAGAACTGCCATCCTGAATTTCGCGGCGAAATGGCAAGGTATAGCTTGTCAGGGCTTGTATCACTTGATCTAGCTCCAAAGTGACTTTGATTGTTTTTATTTACTCATTACCTACGTCTCCAACACTGCTATCAAAGTTTGAAGTCTGAAGTTCACCACAGTCAAGTTTCACATCGCAGCCGGTGAGCTAGGGTCCAGCCGCTTCAGGAGAAGATGGTTCCCCAGAAGGCTGCCATCAAGTTCAGCCGCATCTGCTGAGCTCAGCCCTAAGTCTTTGAGTGAAGGCCGAGGAGGAACTCGTGTCACCGGTTCGGTGTCTTGCGAATGCACGTTTCATATTTCATCAGTCAGCGCTACTAAGGCTTCGGGCTAGCAGCATCTTCTTGCGATGTTGTGACCAAAACCTCGATTTGGAGCTCTGTTCTGCCTTTTTTTTCGTCCAGCTCGCCGCTATAAATCGCCTCCAACTGTGTGTCCTGCGGTATTGCCGAGATTGACAGATAAAAAACGCTCCTTGTCATATGCCCGCAGGCCGTTCGACACATATTTTAAAAGGCCTTTGTCGGCGTTTCCCGAAGTCAGGGATGCCTTTGGGTAGATTATGGAATATCACATACCACCAACTGGTACGTTATCTTCTGCTTGAATAACTCACTGTTCTTGTGTGTTTGGTTACATCAGCTACACTTCCTTGCGAGGAGAAGCCCAAATGACCGGACGTCCGGTTCTTACACCTGTAACCACATTTGCTTGGCACGCATGAACGACCTCTCAAGGAGACAAAAGGTGTGGCTTTGTTTTTGCTATACATTGGAACTTTAACCAGGCGAGGCGGGAGGTTATCTCTCCGAGCCTAGGGTCATAGACCGTCGACACGAGGGAAGCTGAGTGAGCAGAAGAAGTTTCCCTTCGTACACTGCACTTGGAAGGTTCTCTTTCTTCATGGTATCTCACCTTTCTAATCGAACTCCCTTACTGATGCTATAGATGTACATCTGTGATGAATCATCTAATAGCTTGAGAAGAGTTACGTTTAATGCTGTTAAATTATAAGGCGTTAGAATATATTTTTACAAAACACTGCCATGATATCCATCTCATCGCCCGCTCGAGTGCTCGGGTCGGAGCAGTTCATCAGTTTACTAGAGGATTCTAATTGGAGCTTCTCCTTCTTCGGGCTGTGTTCAATAAGACACGCAGAGCCCCGTTTCATGGCAGCACGCCACTTCATGGAGCCCGACCGCGTGGAAACGTCCAAGTACAGTCAACGCTGTACCATGTCGGCCGACTTATTCTTGTCTGCATTTCGAAAGGTGAACCTCTAGTAGAAGTGTGATACGATGGTGTTGCCCTACTCGACCGTTTTGAAGGATTTAGTAGCCAAGGCATTGGTCTCGGCGAAAGCTGATGTGGTTGTGCCATCACAATCACGATAGGAACGATTGATGTTGTGTCATACCCACTGCCATGGCATAGATATCGTGCTTATTATCTAGCTGCTGGATGCCTGACCGCAGATGTCATCGATGTGGTGTCGCTCTCGTCCCTTATTAGTCGTGCCTCATTAGCGTCAGACATCGTCAACTCTCTGTATACATGATGGATTACCGGCTTGCCAATTGCATGGGTTGTAGGGTTCCCTTGAGATCTGACCGTTGTTGAGTCCGCTGCCGTTTTCTCCAACCTCGCTTCGAGGATCCCTCTGCTGCGGCCCAGTTTGCGCTCCTTGGATCTTACCTCTCACCATGACAGATCACCAATGATCTTGTCTAAGCTTTACAAAGCCCTTGGGAGTCGGAGGTATTCGATGGTGGCTTGTGTTTCACTCCATGGCGCCCTGCCTGATACTCAGCCCGTCCCCGAATCCTGCACGCCGTTGCTAAGACTTGTGTCTGCCCATGTCTCACAGATAAAGGAAGCGGCTGGGAGAAGACGGACGGCGAGGCAGTTAGAGCCCAATAGAGGTGATTCATCCCTACAGTCACCTTGCGATTTCTGACCGATTTGGCGACACGCCCGACAGTCGCCGAGAGACACAGGATCTGATACTGCAGCTGCATATCCAGCTTTAGCATCCACCATTAAGCAAGGAGATGAGGTCGCACAGAGAGCCGTTACTGCGCCCTAGGGCCATAGGTCGGAGAATTCTTTCAGACGTTGCCCTTGCTTGTTTCTCACTCGCCATGTCTTGTGGTTGATGAAAGGAGTGAGTAGTATTTAGTTGGGATATAAGTATGCTCAATTTGACCCCTTCTCTTCGCTTTTGTTATGGCCTGACCTCAATGCGATTTGCCTGCCATAATGCTTGAACAGTTTGCCCTTGCTCCAGGTTGTCACAATCATCCTATAAGCATCGCACAAGGTCCCTTGCAAAGCGATATTATTTGCAAACGCCATTTTCATGAAGATCATTCAAATACAGGTGTCATCAACAGGACATTATAGCATCTTCCATCCCTTCCATTACTCGTTTTTTCCCGATATGATTACTTGCATTATAATGCTCATAAGAGAGGCTCCTTCACTCCATATCATGATGCATGAGAGCAGTATGCCCCAACCAATATGAACCCTGGCTCTTTGTGCTCCAAATGAACTGGATAGAAGATCAAAACTTCTTTCTGACCACTCGAGAGCGAGGTGTTGGTGCTGGAGTGTACAAAGCGCTGATTGCCATGTCAGTCTCTCCTTCCCAGGAATTACCACAAAAAACAGAGACCACTTACCCGTTGTACGTCGGATCCGGCTCAGTAATAAAACCAGTTGTGTCCGTGTAATTGTCCGTATTTCCAGCAGCATTTCCCTGATATGGAATGCCCAAGATTTTGCAATTGTCTATATGGTCCTGGGGAAACTTGCGGCCTTTCAGAAGGTCAGGGGCCTCAATGATGGTGGCGGTCAATCCCATCTCGACGTGCCACTCAATGTGGCAGTGAAACAGGAAGACGCCTGGATTATCCGCCTTGAATCTCAAGACAGCATATGAATTGGCATTCACAGAGACTACATCCCTCATCGGCGGGTTCTTAGTGCCGCCGGCACGTCCTGACCACTTACCCGCGCCGCTACTAGGACGATCTATCACCTGAAACTGGTGCCCGTGAAGATGGAATGGATGGATAGCCGCGTCAAGATTATTGATGACAATGTCGACTACGTCGTTGTGTTTGGCAATGAAAGGGTGAACAGCCCCATAAACAATGGGGTTGGCATTGTCATCGCCAGTGGTTGCAGCCGTATATAAGGTAGGTACCTTCTGCGGTATGTATGGAGAGCCATTGAAACATGAACGCGGCAAACCATTATCATCTAAACAGAAAGAGAAGTCGAGTTGGATGGTTTGAGCAACGGGACTAAATTGAGCGGCACCATTATATGGCGCGAAATGCGAATCGTCAGCGGGACGCCAGACATCAACAACGTCCACGCCAGTGTTATTGGTCTTGCCGTCCATAACCAGATACCCGGTAGCATTGTGGGGGAACACCGGGGCCGGGTCATTCTTGAAGTCGCGGTTGATATCCAGCGAGAAGAGATACGGGTAGTTGCGGCGATCTCGGTCAATAGCCGAGATAAGGACGTCATACCGCTGGGCAGGAGCGATACGAAGCTGATATGCTTGGGTCTGTTTGACATACGAGCCATCATTCATGATGACTTGCATATTATGCGAGTCAAAATGGAGGAAGGCCGACGCAAATGCAGCAAAGCTGATAATTCGCAAGCGATACGTCTTGCCCTTGATAAACTTAATGTCTCGACTGCCTCCCTCATTTACGAGCAGAGTGTCTGGAAACGGCGGGAGAAAGTTGGTATTGCTGGTCACGAACATTGCTCGGACAAGGTCAATAGTTTGACTATGATACCTGTCGAACCATTAGGGAAAGTCTTGTGAGGTCTAGTTAGACAATATAGACATACCAGTCCGTGACTGTGAGGATCACTTCTTCATCGTATTTCCCAGCATAGGGATCAAGAGGGTCATGTACAATTAACGGCCCCCGGAGACCATCCGGATACTGACCCATGTTATGGGAGTGATACCAGTATGTTCCCGGAGCATCAGCCTATTATCTGAAATTAGTATCGTGTCCTTCATTTCAGATAGACATGAAGCTCACCAAAAAGCTATATGTGATGGAAGACCCGGGAGGAACTGGGCATTGCGTAACACCGCTGGGGCCGTCCATCTCGTTGGTAGAGATCTGGTTAATTCCGTGGAAGTGTACGCCGGTTGTCTCATTGCCTAACTTGTTGTTTAGGTGTACAACGATGGTATCGCCAACAGTTGCCTCAATCTTTGGACATGGCCATTGTCCATTGATACCGATAACGGGCCTAGCGAAGCCATCTGGAGCAGCGTTCACCCATGTGATATCCCAGTTGTAAGTCACGACCCCTGCCCAGGCAGAGCTGGCAAGAGCCAGGAACTGGGCGACACGGCACGTGAACATGGCGCCGACGTGGCTATGAAAGATGCAGAAGAAGGACGGAAAGCTCTGAACGAGTGAAGAAACGAGAGTTAAGATGAAGAGACGCGAAAGGGGTATATGCTCAAGCAGAACATTAAGAATCAGCTAAACAAGAAAGAGATCATCATCCTACATACACATGGAGCCGGGAGTTCTGCTGGTTTTAACGGCTAGCTGGAAGGGCAGCATCTCAAAAAGCGCTTGCAGTGTGACTTGACCATATCAAATCCAGGTGGCCGGGTTCCGATATGAGACTTTGCCTCAAACGCAGAGCTCATGGTCATCAGAACGACTACTACTTCGGGCTAGTGTTATGTGGAGGCTGAGATGGCCGATGGCGCTTCCCTGGATGTAGTTGGGGAGCGAGTTGCATCCATGATGGTGGGAAATGAGTGGCTGCATGACGGATGTCCGTCGTGCAAACTCGTACACTAGCTTCTGGCTTACTAGCATGTGTGCAGTTGTAAGACGCCTTTGCTTCGTGTTGGGTGGGATCTCCTCCTCCATTACTCTGACCCTGAGCTTGGAAATAACAGAAGGGAAGGGGTTTGCCCGAGGCCCCAAGGGTCACCCGCACAAGTAGCTTGTTCCGAGACAGACCACCCCGGAGGTGATCGGTTGACGGAACCTGATCCCGGTCATGAGATGGTAGCATAGAGATGCAATGTACCACTAGTACAGATCTCTCCTTTACGAGTCATCGCAGACTGCTCAGAGAAATGGCAACATTTCTACATACTGCATGCCCGAAGACAAGGCTCTCATGTGGTCAGCCCAAAATCCCGCCTGCAGACGGTGTAGCTGCCGTTGAGGATCCTTTGGAGTGGTCGTGGATGGTTATGATTTGCACGAGGTTGCCACAATCTTACAGCTTTTCGAGAACGGTTAAGGTCTGCACAAGGTTCAGAACAATAACCCGGTCTTGGCTGCAGCACAAGAAGAAAGAAAGAAGAAAAACAAGAAGCCTCAAGACGTGGAGACGCAAAGCACATGCATCTTCAGCCCACGAAGCCACAGAGCATCCGAATTCAATTTTGGCTGCCGTGGCGTAGTTGGCTGTTCCCTCAGCCGAGAACTCACAGAGATGTTGGAGTCATTGATTTTACATTCTATCACTGTGCTCAGCTCTAAACGGCTCGTAACCAGCGCAACGGCCGTGCACCTCGTGATTGTTTTGAAGGGTTGGGTTAGAAGAAGCAAATGCGCCTACAGAGGCTTGAGCCACAAATCGTCCCAAAGCTGGAGCCTTGTTTCTCTTAGGTGTGTAGAACAAGAAATAAATGGATCACAAGCTTGTTTCCATCTGGGAGATCCTCTGCACGGGTGGGCTCAGTACCGCCCGTCCCACAGATGTGTAACTATGCACGCGCAATGGAGTGAACGCACGATAACGTGTGGCTTGCTGCTTGTTAATGTTGTTCATCATCATTTCAAAAAAAATCCGAGCGGAGCGGAGCTGCTTGCCTGGGGTGGGCTGGGGAAAGTGAAGAGGAGTTGGCCCGAGTATGCAAGTGACTACTGTACAATGCTTTGGTAACTTGTAAGACAAGCGACTTGATCGGCAGGAACCCATCGAGCCACCTTGCTTCGGTTCACGCCGGGTGCTCGACCTAGCGTCAAGTTGAACGGGAGAAGACTTGACTGGGAGGGTTAAGGGTGGAAAATGACAGCGAATAATGCTATTCAAGGAGTGAAGTTGAAAGAGAGTGAATAGGCGACTAGCTGCCATGATTGCCGAAAATAGCGTCGAATCTTGCGGCGATCCGCGCCGCTATTTGGGACAAGCTCCAATCTATGTCCGACACCAATGGGCTGAATACCGAGAGGCCAATCAGTAACCTGACAATTGAGATCCTACCTGCTGGACTGCTCCAACATCACCGAGAAACCCTGTACCCGCAGGCGAGTTGCATTATATCGCTCAGTCAGATCGACCTGGCGTCAGACTTGATCAGGGCACCTTCTCTGAAGTTTCCCGGTGGATGTGGCATTTTTTCTCGAATATCAACAGACAAGCAAAGGAGGAGGGTTAGATCAGGCTGCCTTTCATGTGGCTCAGCTGCGGCGCTCGGTATCACGACAACGATTTCCATGGTCTCATCAGCCCGAGCTGGGAGCGGATCAAGAATAATTTGAGACATGTTTCGCACAACAATCGGAAACATAATTCTCGGAGCATTAATATAGGAAGGGGCTTGGATTGCCATGCCTGCTATTTGTTATGTAATTCATACGATGAACACAAGGAAATGATTTCTGGAACTGTCAGATGCAACGACAGTTCATTCGGGACAGCCATCGAGCTTGCCGTGAGCAAGGCCGAATGGCGGTTCGTGTTGGACCCTTACGGCGCCATCAGGAATTTTGATGCATAAGTTCCGGGGGGAAGCCCACGCTATGGCGCGGGAAATGCAGCCCTGGGTCCGTAGTGCAGCCAGTGACGGCCATTGCTTTGCACCTAGTTTTGTCAAGTTGCTCTTCTATCATTGACATAAGACTGGGCAAAGTACGTGACATCATTGCGCGAATCCCCCTCGGCCTTGGGCTGCAGCTTGGCCCGTATCGGTGAGGTGAGCCCACCTACCTCACTCAACATTAGGTATTTTGCATCTATACGCGATGACCGTGAGATGCTGTTGGCTCGACCTGCATATGAAGATAAGCAATTCAGAACTGAGAAGCTGCAGTGATGCGGGGCACGCAGATCAGACTATCGAACAGACACAGGGACCGAAGGTGTCGTCTCATCCGCAACATGGCCGCCATTTCTAGGACGTACATATATTTTCGAGCATATTGTGGAGACTTCTCAATCGTACAGAGTAAGCCACGGGTTATAGAACGTAGGTGAAGTAGCCTTCTGAATACGAGGAATGGCGGTGGCTCACATCGCAAGCCGTGTGCGTATGGTTGTAGCCAAGAGAAGACCAGCTTGAGAGGCACCAGTCCTGCTTGAAATGGACATCGAAATGATTACGGTTGAGCCTGGATATTGCAAGGACCATCGCTCCAGTGGTTGTCGAGTTTCGGACGGCACTTCTCGGCTGCTTGCCTTAGCCTCAGACGGTGAAACCTGTAGATGTTGTGTTGCTCATGTATCTGTTGCATTAAGCCGAAAAGCTTGAAATGCTCTTCCCGAACCCCATACAATATATTTTCGTTATCTCCAACCCAGGCGAAAGGATTGTTAATATAAAAGTCACGAAATTCGGGTCGGTACATTACAGGGAAGGGAGACACCGCAGCCTTGTTTATATTTGGGTGTCATAGTTGTGGATTGGGTCTATTGTTGGCTGTCCGCATTGCATTAGTATCCTCCAGACCTCTGCTTCAACGAGAGCCATGGCTTATAGATGCCAGTTACTGCGAAATATGGATGGCTTCGCCCGACGAACGGTATTCGGCAACAACTGCACCAGTATATTGTTTATCTGACATTTTTCAATATGAAGGTGGACTAACGGGAGACGCTATGAAAGAGAATATCAATTATTATGCTGTATCATGTTACCAGCATGCCTTCACGGGTTGCGATGTTGGTTTTCAGGACCCGGCAGGCATGAATACCATTCAAATGGATTGGTGTATTCTCTCATGGCCTTGGAATATTGCGATCATCAAGTCACTTGATCTCTCATATGGGCGGTTGCGATGTGTTGATGTGGTGGTTTCGTTTGGTCATTTGAGCAAGACAAGCCTCGACGGGAAGGCCGATTGTGCGACCTTACACGAGAGACGAACATACTATCGACCTCCCAAGGCTGGCGCATGTCACCGAAAGCTCAGAAGCGTGGCAAAAGTCACAAGGTATGGCATGCATTGCCAGAGCTCCATCTATCCGTCATAGGAAATCGCTCGACATGACCGTTGTGAATGCCTTGGGCAGTAACAGCAATTCGATACAGGAAGGTATACAGAGACTGGCGAGAAGGTTTCGAACGTTCTCACATCGGCCGTCATCGCGACAGTTGCTGTCTTACTCTATTTGGGCTTCCTTGGCTCGAGCTGCGAGCATACACTTCGAAGCGAAGTGCTCTTCATCGGATGATGAAGACGGGTAGAGTTCAGATGAGAGGTTATGAGTCAGCAAGTGGTGAACGCAATATGCCTACCAGCAAAAGTACACCTCCGCTAGGGTAATAAATGTTATTTTAGCAAGGTGAATTACCAGAAACTCAGGGTTGGGAATACTTGATTGGGGCTTTGAAGATTCTGATTATTTCTGTACCCCCCCTGGTCTTGACAAAAGGAGCAAGTCCTTTGTCTGAAAAGCCATGATTCCTACTTAGAATTAATAACTATTACCCTGGCGGAGGTGTACATCAATATCCACAAGGTTTTCTTATTGTTAACAGTGCTGACTTCCAGTCGATTACCAGGTTTTATCAGTCAGTGTTAGTGCATTTCAGCCGGAAATAGGTATACTGTTTTGTCAGACAAGTTAGCAAGTTGAGGGGCGAACTATGCACATCATCCGGTCTATCAAGATAAGATGTCAAGAAGTAGCTGGCAACACAAGCACTGGGCTTCGCAAAGGATGAAGAGGAATGACTTGTGCATGCTTCCTAGGCAAGCTATGCCAATGCCTCAAATGGCACTGGTTTACCTCATGAGCATCGATATACTGAAATTTACGACACGCATCTTTCCAAGCGTGAAACTTCCATTAAGTATTTGATCTTGTTAAATTGGAATGGCAATTTGCGCAGGTTGAGCAGCTTGACTTAAATAATGATGATTCCATGGTCTTGACTCCCCGTGACACGTTTGACAAGTCCCCTGTCCAAGAGCTCCACACCAGGCAATTTACCCGCTGATGTCAGCTTTGCGGCGTAGAGCTTTAGCGACTGCGAACTTCCCGACCTGCAACCACAGATCTCGAAATGGGTATATTCCCTGAAGGCGGCCGCTTCAAGCATTTTTGAAAACCAAACAGCGTCGAGGGCCTAGAAGATATCTAGAGCCTGAGCGACCCAAATCCGACATCATCCAAACCCAAGCCCCAGCCGTCACTGGCACCAAGACAGCATCATGAAGCCTGCGATTGCCATTCCGGCGACCCTAGCACTGGTCTACCGTGCTTATTCCAAGAAGTCGTTGACACCTGCTGGCATCGTCGCAGCGACTTTGACGGCCATTGCTCATGCAGTTCATCCGTGGAATATGCCTTTTGTTCTGCTATGCGTTTTCTTTCTCGCTGGCACACGAGTTACTCATGTTGGAGCTACCCCGCGATCGAGCTCCAGATACTCCTAGCTAACAATACCATCTACAGGTAAAGGAGGATGTCAAGGCAAAATTGACGATGCCCTCAAAGGGCACAGCCGGCGGTGAAGGGCCGCGAACCCACGTTCAAGGTGTGTGCTATACATTACATCTTCTCTTCTGTGATTGAGCTAACGAAGGATGTCCCACAGTGTTTGCCAATTCGATTGTCGCCTCCGTCTTGAGCCTCCTACACGCATATCAACTCCACCAACGCAAGCAAGCTATCGTCGAACGACAAGAACTGCCCTCCGGCTCCTTTTGCTATTCTTGGGGCGGCGATCTGCTTGTCATTGGCATCATTGCGAACTATGCATGCGTAGCCGCCGATACGTTCTCCTCGGAGCTTGGTATCCTAGCGAAGGGCTACCCTCGCCTGATCACATCCCCCACATTACGAAAGGTGCCTCCCGGAACCAACGGCGGCGTCACGTTGACGGGCTTAGCTGCCGGCTTGCTGGGTAGCATGATTCTTGTCGTGTCGGCCGTCTTGTTTCTGCCCCTATGCAACGAGCAGACAGCGGGGAAGGTGGCCGGTGGTAGCCCGTGGACACAGCAGCAGCGAAATGTGCTGATGATTGGACTCACATTGTGGGGTGCTCTGGGAAGCTTGGTAGATAGCTTCCTCGGCGGCATGTTCCAGCGCAGTGTGAAGGACGTGCGAAGCGGAAAGATCGTAGAAGGCGAAGGCGGTGTCCGCGTCTTGGTCTCGTCACCGCCTGCAAGCGCCGGTGTCAGTTCTAGTAATGCTGAGCATCATGCGAGAAGAGCGGAGATCAAGGCAGCCTTACTGGGTGGAGAGGGCAAGAACGCTGTAGAAAAGACCGACGCCACTGTGTTCGAAGACCATGACACTGATAAGTACAGTGCCAAGGATAAGCATAGGAAGCCAAGTTTTGGCGACGAGAAGCCCACTAGGATCGTGGAGAGTGGATGGGATTTGCTGGACAATAACGACGTGAACTTCTTGATGGCTTTCAGTATGAGCATGGGCGCGATGGGAGTTGCGGCATGGTATTGGGGTATCGCCCCTGAGAGCATCCTTGCTCTTTGAACAATTCGATAATGCCGCGAACTTCTTGAGCCTCTCGTACCTCGGCTGCAATCAACATGATTACTATCCTGTCTGTAACATAGTTTTAATGCTGAGGTCTTATTTAGAGGCATGAGAATAATAACGAATCGAAGGTATCAAGTCGGTCAGTGAATCATCATTTTTGAGGTGCACCACGCACCATGGCCGCAAAGCATGCACGTTTCTGGCCTTTGACTGCGGCTTATAATCCAGGACAACAAGAAAGACAAATACGTGCGACCATAGTCAGTAGAAAATATGGCATCCCGTCCGCTCTGCCTTAATCAAGCTGCTGAACGCCAGACTAGTAGTTGGGTCGGTGACGACCAGCGAATCCCTGGTGTTGCACGTTGTTTTTTTCTTCCTTTTTTTTATCTTCTCTACTATTCTATTTACTCATCGTTATGCCACGGAACTGCCAAGTTCTTTGTCTACTATAAGGATTAATACTGCAGAGGTGACAAAGTAACTGACCAGAGTGTTCGTAACGCTGTATCTATTCACAGCTTCGGCTGAGCGATAGTGACCATATAAATGAATTCAAGACCAACTTCCAGCGGATATTCAATGTTATGTTGCTAATTATTATCGTTGCTCGCGATACTAAGGAGGGTTTGACATGTTCATGGTCGCCTTTTCAACAGCCTCCAATATGGAGACATATTCCCTAGTACGACCCCAAGCTATAGATATTGCGTTCAATATCTTTCTGCCTTCCCTTAAAATTCTAGTTGGCCCCTTTGGCGAGCAAATGTCGCCCACTCCAGTGATATGTGCTCGCATGACGGATGGCTTGCCTGATCGTACAAATAGTTGTACCATCTCATCATCGTTCGGACGATCCAGACGGATAAATGTCGGCTCATCGTCCATTGTCAGAGTCGACCCTGGCGACGGCTGGACAGTGACTTGCGACTCGCGGGTTCGCATCGACTCTGGCGATTGCCGCACAGGACCGTTATACCTGTCCCCATAATATCCAATGCCACGATTTTGTGCTTCAGTCCCGGGACTATTCCGTCTAGAAGCGCTCCCGCTCCTAGTTTCATTCTCACTGGTATTTAAATCCTGCCGTATTTGTCTTGGAGATGCACGAGAGGCATACGAGCTGTACGCCCAGAGGGTTAATATGGCCAGGAACACCGAAGCCGGCTCGTAGAACGCCATCTTGGAATACCGTCTGATGTGCCACAGGAAGCACCCACAGTGAAGGACGCACAATCTCGCTTTATGCTACATGAGCAAGTCAGTGAATTGTTGATGAAGACAGAACCATAGGGGGTACCTCGTCCCGTTGAGCCCATTGCAGGATCTCACGCTCAGCCTCCCGACCATCTTCCCTGCTTGGAAGAGGTATTTCCAGGACGCTCACTTGAGCTAACGACGCGATGGATAGCGCAAGCTTCCGAATACTTCCGTGTGGACTAAGAAGAACTACACGAGACATATGTAGATGCATCACAGTTGGATGCTCAGCTCCCGCCAGCTGCGCTATCTTCCCATTTGCAGCCCAGTGAAGGACATCAACACAGTCTAGGCTGGCGTTTCTCCAGCTTGCAAATGCCGGGTTCTCGGGCAACCCCTTGCGAGATGGCTGCTCAGGTATAGACGGCTCAGAACGCACGCCTGCCCTCACTTCATGTGGCATACGTTGGGCTGATGGGGTCCAGAACGATAACCCGCGGCTAAAGTAGGCTTTGACCTGAAATAGCTCGCTATAAACGCCATGCAGGGTGAGAATGCGGCTATACTCGCCAAGATCCGTCTTCAGAGTTTTATCAATGAAGAGTGTCTGGACGGCCACGGCTAGTGAAGGATTTCCTACATAACGTTAGCCATATATAAATAGTGGGCGATCGCCTCCCACACAATAATGCCTCTTTGATTTAAAATTTCAAGCAAACCGATTCTATACACGAAAGCGGAACATGGAATAAGAAGGAATAACTCTTAAAAATCAAAATTGACTAATGACATACGGTCATATTTCTTGGCTAGATCTGCCCACTCAGCAAATCCTGGTGCATCCCACAATGCGTCTTGCGGGAGATCGGCCTTGGCCATCTCGAGAGACATCAAAGGCTTCGACTCGAAGTGATAGACTGCCATGCAATCAAGTAGCTAGAGTTTATGAGTAAAGCTTTTGAGGGACGGATATTTACAAAGAATACATACCCAAATTGCATAGCCTACACGACGTTTGGTTTCTGCTTCGACCCAGCGTTTCCACTGATGCTCCAAAGAAATTCTTGGATCTGAGCTATCGTTGACACGAATATTATCCTGGTCGGCAATGATTTCCACCGAGGTTGGTTCCAAAAGCCCAGCACTGTGTACCAGGTCGCATAGAAGGCTCTGCCTGCTTCTTGCCTTCGATACCTGCTCCGATATCCCATAGTATGAGAGTCCGACGTGACCAAGAAAGCATGTTTGAACCATCTCTAGACTCGTTGACAAATGAGCACGATTTTCCGTTTCAGTATTGATTACTCTCCTTAGAAACTCATGCAAGGGGGGAATATACTCGGAAAAATCTTGAGTTTGAGTATACTGACAACCAATGGTAGCGACAGCAAGGGCCAACTGCCATGACTTGTTGATATCAAACAACTGGTTATGGAGAATTGGTAGTATTGGGTTGAAATATTCGAAGTAGAGGTGTATGAAGAGATCCATATGGTGCTTGAGCGGGAATACGGATTGGGAGAATGAAGGATAGACACCATCATGCTTGAGACAGATGCGATCGAAATGATGGATCATAGTCTCGTAGGTTTCGAGCTTTAGCAACTTCGTAGCTTCCAGTTCTGTTGTACTTGGTGTCAAGTAAGAAAGATCTCGGAAAGCGTGCCGACCCTTATTCTGGCTGGTATTTCTCCTCAAAGCTACATCGCTGGAAACGGTCGGCAGTGGCTTGGCACCGTAAATCACAGCAGCAGGGCGCCTCGATCGTACCGTGCAAGGGACACGAGCCCCATTTGTGCTTGTTGCATAGAGGCCCCCTGGACTAGCACGACCGGATTCTAGACTCCGTGAATGATGCGATGTAGTCGATATTGAACGTCCAGGCGTAGTCCCTGAATTGGAGCTTGGGTACGGCGTACCTTCTAAGGCAACTCGTAATTCTGACCCAGCACTATGTGGACTTAAAGAGGCGACGTCTTGGGGAGGTGGAAGTACATTCGAGAAGTCGACGCCGTCAGGGAAGAGCTCCATGGAACTGATACCCAAGCCTAGAATGGATGTGTAGTCGATATCGATCTCGTCATTGGCTGGGAGCCAATTAATGGGGAAGTCAAGAGACTGATCATATACATCGGTATTATAGCCAAACTCAGCAAGGCTGCTTGCTTCTAGGCTCATACTTTGATTTATAGGAGTGCCCATGGGAACGGTAAACATTGGGTATGGCGTTGCATCTTGGAGCCTATTAGTAGCTGAGTACGGTACAATATTAGCTTGCGTATCGGTGCCATGCGCTGGGTTGTATGGAACATCGGTTGTACTTGTGGTAGGCTCCGCTGCCGTCCCTGTAGTAAGGCTAAAACTCGCGAAATCATCACCTGCGACATGCTGGCGAGAAGTGGAAATAGAGTCTACACGATCTAGAGCGACTGTAGTACTCGGCATATTTCCGTGATTGGGGGAACCATCAGCAACAAAATTAACATCAGTATTGGTCGGATTCGGGGGGGCATCGATGTCCTGGACCTCATCCTCACTGGAGATGCTTCCAAATCTCTCATCATGCCTGAGAATACTGCGGCGCTTCCGTCGTTGCGGGGTTGGGTACGTGCACAAAAGGGATCGTAAGGAGCAACGTGAGCAAGGCTGTCCCTTCGTACACTTTTCTCGTGATTTCGCACATTCAACACATGCACGCTTTCGCGGCCCATTCTGGCCTGGAGGCGGCTCAGCTAATCGAGCTGGATGAGTGTGAATAGATGAGTGCCGTGCAAGGATATCACTAGGGCAAGTGAGTATGTACGATACATTTCCTCAAAACATCTCTTTCATGATGCGACATAGGCTCGTTCTAGCCCAGCAGACATACCTTCGAGCAAAGCTCTTGGAGCAAAAAGTGCAAGTGAAGCGCCTACCGGCATCGTGTATCCGCTGGTGGCGTTTAAGATGTTCTGGTCTCTTGAAATTGCTTGAGCATTGGCCACATTGGAATTTCTCGACGGCCGTTTCCTCAACGACAGGATCCATGGCCGTTCGCTGGAGACAGTCCTTTCAAATCATATATGGGATAATCAAGGCTATAAGAGGCTGAGACCTCTGTAGCCGTAGCTGTCTCATGAGTCCAATCTGCTGAGATTCGACTTAAGTAGGTGCATGACAGTAACGGTAGATTCCAACGTTGATTGAAAAAGAGCAACGTGAAGTCAGTTGAGTTGGAGAGTTGTCACGAGAGAAAGATTAATGAGGGGCCGAGGTGAGGAGAAGACAGGGGTTGTCATACAAGCGCGGAGAAATCTGGGGATTGGGGACTCTCATTGATGCGCTAAATGGACATAAAGCTTGCTTCATTACCTAGTCTAACCGCGAGTCGATTCTCAGATCTTTCACCGATGACGGTACGGGATAAATTTAAACAATATTCTTTCTACAACTATCACTAGGTCTCTAATGTCAAATCAGTTGGAGGTGAATATGCAACACTGCTCCAGATTTTGTTGCCCCTTCTTGAGGCTATCTGTTACTTAGTTAAGCTCGGAGCAAGCCGACCCGCATATGTCCATTTCCGCCTCTATTTGCCCTGAAGTAATAAGGTACGAAGATGAGGTCTATCTCTGAAGAAAATCGGATAGGTAGAGAGCTAGCTCCCGGCTCTTCACCAGATGGCTTGCTCTTCCATTGGTCAAGTGACCTCTGTAAGCCAACAGTCTTCAAGGCGACATAGGGTTCGTCTTGCTGCTCAAAGAATTGCTGCTCTTCATGTACCAAAGCATCCTCCTTGATAGCAATATTTTTGAAATGATCCTTCTCCCATGGGTTATCAACATCCTCGACACAGTAGACAATAGGTCCCCGAGCGAGTGTCAAGGTCCGCTGATTGGTGTAGGGGTGCGGCGCGATATATCGAGGCTCGAAGCCTTGAATAACCAAAGAGAAAGCGGGATTTGCGACCGTATATACAGGATCGAGAGTAAGGTAGCCGCCTTCGATCTTTGCAGACCTTGATGATGGGGTCAAGACAAACTTTCCCTGAGCCCAGCCCGGAATTCTGAGTTTTACTGTCGTTTGGACAGTCTCGGGGGCAGATAATTGAAACATTACGTTGCCCTCCCATGGCCAATTAGACTTCTGTTCTAAAGTTATACCTGTGCCCTCAACTTCAAACGCGAGTTTGGCTGTCGTGTATAGATGCACATTTATGAAAGCCTCTCGGCCTTTGCTGCCGAAATGCCACAGGTATCCTCCGAGACTGCCAAAAAGTCTGGTCACGTTTGGCGGACAACAGGAGCATTCAAACCATTCCTCTCTGATGCTCTTATTTTTATGCGAGCTCGCCAGTTGGTTCTCATATGTGAATCCTTTGCCATTCAAGCTCATAGCTGTCATGACATTGTTGTAAAGGCACAGTTCCATGATATCTGCGTAGCGAGCATTGAGGTGTAGCTCGAGCAGACGTTCTGCAAGCATCATAACACCAATAGAGGCGCATGTTTCAGCGTAGCAGCCTCCCTCATCAGTGCCTTGCGGCAGGAAGTAGTTTATGCCAAACCCTTCCCATTGCGCAATCGCACCGATGCCGCCGGTGAGGTACATTTTCTCATCAACCATATTGTCCCACAGGCGCTTCAGGGCGGTGAACCACTCCGCAGCTTTTGGTAGGGGCTGTTTCCCATCTTTCCAATCGAGGGCCACAAGATCAGCCACAGCGGTCAATAGATACATCGCTCGAACCGCATGTCCCTCGACTGTTTGTTGCTCTAGGATGGGAGCATGAGCTTGACAGTACCAGTAGTCCTGAGACATTGGGTAGGAATTAGGTCGCTTCCATGGGCTTTCGCCACGGAGCTCCATTTCCCAGTCGTAGTAGTGCTTCCCATCTTGACCAGTTGGGTTTCCCCGCTCTTCGAGAAAGAAGCGAGCCAGCTCGTAGGCCTCATGATTGCCAGTAGACTTATACAAACGAAGAAGGGCAAGCTCTATCTCCGGGTGCCCTGGATAGCCTTTGCGCTGCTTCGGTCCACGGCCAAATTCCTTGTGGATTAGACTGACGTATTTCTCCATGACCTCCAGCAGATCCTTGTTTTTGTAATGGTCGTAATGTGCGAGAGCTGCCTCTATGAGATGGCCACAATTGTACCTGTATGTTTTTAGTGAACTGGAACTTATACTAAATCGATGTAACTAACATCTCATGCATATCTCGGAGGTTTGTCCATCTCTTATCTGGTTCAACCACGATATAATGGAGGTTAAGGTAGCCATCTTCTTGCTGAGCGCTGCGTATCGTGCTCACGATATGCCTAACTGCCTCGTCTATGCCTTCATCATAAGTTTCATTCAGGAAATAGCAAGCACCTTCCATCCACTTTGCCAAGTCACTATCCCAGAACAAGTGAGGTGGGACGGGCCAATATCTCTTATCATCGTAGACAGGGTGCCACTTCAGCTTGAAACAGTCATAACGTCCCGTGCTCTTCAGCAGATCAAGTTGAGTTTGGAGCGTCACCTTAGAGATTGTGTTTCGACGGATCGACAATGTAGAGGGACCGTGGAAAGTGGTGTGCGAAAAGGCAGCTTGCGGATTGGACATCTTGGAAACAGGGTTGCTATCAGGGCGTATCTGAGCTTGCCCTAGATTCAATATTACACGCATGATGCGAAGAATCAAGGAGATGGTCTACAGAGACTATGACAGTGAAATAAAGCTGAGCCTCCGGAGATTCTTCCCGGGTAGCAGCAGCCTCGTCATCAGCCTGATGAGGAGAAGGGAGGGGAATATTTTGGAGGACTTCCTCGGGGGCTATTGCCCCATGACAGCTTTGCCATCTGCCGATACGCTGCCAGAGGATTCACCCATCAGAGTCAGTGATAGTCGTGAGATCTCCACTACACTTGGGCTACTTTGGCAGTTGCAGAAGAATCTCTCCCACCGGACAAGTCCTCGCATTCTCTCCGGTGGGATGCGGGGGCAAAGCTCCAGGAGGGACAATGGCGCATTTCGGGGTACGGGCCTGCTATTGATCCGGCTAGCCAATCACAATCAGTCTAGCTGTTGCCCGTCATCCAGAACATCCCGAATTTTGGAGGCAACATGAGCTCTAGGTAGCTGGATTTCGACTTTCTACATCAACGCGGCCGCCCTCCCAACATGGCAAGTCGACGCGATTTTCTCAGCCAGCCGGCACCTGAGAACTATGTCGCCGGTCTTGGTCGAGGTGCAACTGGTTTCACAACCAGATCCGATCTTGGACCGGCCCGTGAAGGTCCCAGTGAAGACCAGATCAAAGCTGCCGTCGCGAAAAGATCTGCGCAACTCGGTCTCACGGATGGGAAAGATGTTGCAGGCGACGACGAAGATGATGGCAGGTACCAGGACCCGGACAACGAAACGGGACTGTTTGCAGGCGGTATATATGAGAAAGACGACGAGGAAGCGGACCGCATCTGGCAGGAGGTAGATGATAAAATGGCAAGGCGTCGCCAGAAGCAAAGGTTAGTCGCATCTTTATTTCTTACACAGCCCTCGCATGCTCCCATACCGCTCCTACATACACTTCTCAAAGCATATGGTTTATCGTTTGTGATGATAGATGAGCAGAGTACCGACCAATATGTTTCTACCTACAGGGAAGCCCGCGAGCAAGCCGAACGCGACGAGTATGAGCGCAAAAATCCGAAGATCCAGCAGCAATTTGCAGATTTGAAACGAGCCCTCGGCACGGTCACCGACGAAGAGTGGGCAAATCTCCCGGATGTCAAAGACATGACCGGAAAGACAAAGCGAGAACGAGAGGCCCGACATCAGCGATTCTATGCCGTTCCAGATAGTGTGATCGCCGCTGCGAGTTCATCGGGAGAATTTGGTACGACTATTGTAGAGGACGGTGCTGGTGGCGACGCGAAGGATGGCGGCATGACAAACTTTGCGAAGATTGGTGCCGCGCGAGACAAAGTGCTCCAGGCAAGGCTTGATCAAGCTTCCCAGAGCAGCGGTACTGCGACCACCGTGGGCACCTCTACAAGTGTGGACCCTAAGGGTTACCTGACGAACTTGGCCAAGGTTGGAGACGTGAGCCAAGTCAGCGTAGGAGATGTTGACTTTGCACGGAAACTACTCAAATCAGCGGTGGAAACTAACCCTACAAATGCGCCGGGATGGATTGCCGCCGCTCGAGTTGAAGAACTTGCTGGCAAAATGGTTGCCGCCCGCAACATCATTGCTCGGGGTTGCAAAAATTGTCCAAAGAGCGAAGATGTGTGGTTGGAAAACATTCGACTCAATGATAGTCGTAATGCCAAGATTATCGCCGCAGAAGCCATCAAATCCAACACGCGATCAGTGCGCTTGTGGGTGGAAGCAATGAAGCTGGAGTCTGACCCGCGGTCGAAGAAGAAGGTTATCCGACACGCCCTAGACCATATTCCAGAGTCAGAAGCCCTGTGGAAGGAAGCCGTTAATCTAGAAGAGGATCCCGAGGACGCCAGATTACTCCTTGCGAAGGCAACTCAACTGATCCCGGCATCGGTTGACCTTTGGCTGGCGCTTGCGCGCCTTGAAACACCAGAGAATGCGAAGAAGGTTATCGACGCTGCTCGTAAAGCCATCCCTACCTCCCACGAGATTTGGATTGCTGGTGCCAGACTACTGGAACAGATGGGGCAGGGTACCAAGGTCAATCTCATGAAGCGTGCTGTACAAGTCCTGGCCAAAGAGTCTGCTATGCCCAAACGAGAAGAATGGATTGCTGAGGCCGAGAAGTGCGAAGACGAAGGTGCCATCATTACTTGCGGCAACATCATCAGAGAAACTCTTGGTTTCGGATTAGACGAAGATGATGACCGCAAGGACACGTGGATGGAGGATGCTAGGATGAGTATTGGTCGTGGCAAGTATGAGACCGCACGAGCCATCTATGCCTATGCACTCCGGGTATTTGTCAACAGCCGGACGCTATGGCTCGCTGCTGTAGATCTTGAGCGAAATCATGGCACCAAAGAAGCTCTATGGCAAGTTCTCGAGAAGGCCGTTGAAGCTTGCCCACACAGTGAAGTCCTCTGGATGATGCTTGCCAAGGAGAGGCTACTGGTTGGAGAGCTCGACGAGGCAAGAAAGGTGCTGGGTCGTGCTTTCAACCAAAATCCAAACAACGAAGACATTTGGCTTGCGGCTGTCAAGCTGGAAGCTGATCATGGCTTCACAGACCAGGCGCGCGAACTGCTGAAGACAGCCCGGCAGAACGCGCCGACAGATCGCGTCTGGATGAGAAGCGTTGCATTCGAACGGCAGCTTGACAACAGCGACGCTGCTCTCCATCTCGTCCAGGAAGCTCTCGAACTCTTCCCCGCGGCGCCAAAGTTGTGGATGATAAAGGGGCAAATTTACGAACATCTCGACGAGATACGTCAGGCAAGAGAAGCGTACAGCACAGGCGTCAAAGCCGTACCTTCGTCCGTACCGCTTTGGTTGCTCTATTCCCGCCTGGAAGAACGTGCAGGCGCTGTTGTCAAAGCACGCAGTGTCCTAGACCGAGCACGCCAAGCTATACCAAAGTCTCCTGAGCTGTGGTGTGAGCTCATCCGGGTTGAGAGACGCGCCGGCAACCTTCCCCAAGCGAAGAACCTAATGGCAACAGCACTACGTCAAATGCCTAAGAGCGGTCTGTTGTGGAGCGAACGTATCTGGCATCTCGAGCCCCGAACCCAGCGCAAGCCGCTCAGTCTGCAAGCGATCAAGGAGGTTGAGAATGACCCAATTCTCTTCGTTGCTGTCGCGAGAATTTTCTGGGGCGAGCGCAAGCTCGAGCGTGCTCAAAATTGGTTCGAGAAGGCCCTGATATTGGATGGTGACATGGGTGACACCTGGGCTTGGTATTACAAATTCCTCCTACAGCATGGCACGGATGAGAAGCGGGAAGATGTGATCTCAAAGTGCATTTCGAATGACCCTCGGCACGGCGAGTACTGGCAACCGATCGCGAAGGATCCGAAGAACTCGAAGAAGAGCGTTGAGGAGATATTAAAGCTAGTCACGGCGTCACTGCCGAACTGAGAAGTTGTTGGTTGTTTTAAGCAAGGCGTCAACTGTAAAGATAGCTAGGTCACTCAGGAGATTTGTTATAATAAAACGGCTAGAGGGACATCATTCAATAGTGTTCAGAACAGTGGTCAAAACTATCAGTTTCGATTCCTCAAGTAGACTATTCGTGCCTCAAGTATGGATGCATTGTCGAAAGAATTTCCCCGGTCCCTGTACAGATGATATAACAACAAGAGTCAAAAACACGTTGAGTTGGGATATCACATTGAACGCTTATTTTCCGCCGAACCAGCTCGAGATACCGCTCTTCGCCTTGGAAACGTCCTTCTCGACGGTGCGGTCGAAGTCATCCACCTTTTTCAGGGCGTTGGCCTTAGCCTCCTTCGCATAGGCCTCGGCCTCGCTCTTCGCCTTTGAGAATTCAGCGTTCGTCTTGGCAACCTGTACGCGCGCAAGGCAATCACGAAATCATTAGCCAGGTGTTCTTGAAGGGGGAGTCGGATGTCGAGAAGTGCATGTCAACCGGGTGTGTAGGAGTAGTAGGAGTAGCAGTAGTAGGAGTAGGAGTAGTAGGGTCCTCCATCAGTGCGACGAGGGGGCTGCTGCTGCTTCTTCTGCTGCTGCTTCTGCGAGCGGCGGCGGCATTGGCATAGGAACTTACGGCAGAGTCGACTTTGGCTCCGGCGTTGGCTCCAAACTTCTCGGCATCCTTCTCGAAGCGAGGCGCCTCGCCCTTGACCTTGGCAGAGACCTTGTGGACGTCGGCTGTGATGCGCAAGAGTGTGTCAGTATGCAGGTCAATTGACAACATGGCATCTGTGGCCGGGGCGTGGCATGACAGGAGTGTACGGACCCTCGAATTGCTTCTCCGCTGCCTTGGCGTTACCGCCCGAGTTGTAGAGGTAGTATCCAACACCACCAACGGCGGTCAGGCCGAGGACGAGGGGAGCTCGAGATCGCGACATTTTGCTTTTGGGGTAGGAAATGGGGATAGGCGAGATGAGTGTTGGTCGTGTTATGGTTTTTGTGATGTTGCAATTGTCGTTCGTTTCACTTGTCAAAGATGCGAAGGAGGGGTTGGAGGAGGTAGGAAGGGAAGGTTTATTACTGGATGGTAACGGAATGGATGGATGGCATGATTTATTATAAGGAGGCAGGCCCGGTACGTAGGTATGCGACGCACCGAGTGACCAGGAGATGGCAGTCTGAGAGAAGTGACATGTGGTGTGCCTCATTCGCTCCTGTTACTGCTACATCCGGTGGTATACGGAATACATGAAATACATGACGTAGCGTACAGCGGGGCCTGGCCCAGTGCGGTCCAAAAATGCCCTAGCGAGCCTAGCTTTTTCTCTGCTCTTACCTGCCGAATCCACTCTCTCCGCGTCTCCACAGGTCACCCGTTGCTCGATTCCAGATTCCAGCATTGCTAGACCCCCGCCCCTGGCTAACATTGAGGCGCTTTCCGATTGAACCATTGGCAGAGTGCAGAGTTGGTGGAATTGCATCTGACCTGGGCTGAAAGCTCATCTTGACGATGTCGGTTCAGGTGAAGAATGGAAAATGCTCCTATTAACCATGCCATGGCCGTCCGTTGCTCTTCAGATTACCTAACGAAGCAGGTTCAGAATCTTGTCTCTCTTGGCCACTTCAAGTCGAAGCCAGTAGCCCACACGCAAGACCTTACTTCTTCTATCTCAGTAGCCGTACGCTTAGATAACTGCAGCAATATATATATATATATATATATACCTATAACAGTGTCTCTGTTCTCCACTTCAATTTTGTTTGCAGAATTGTTAAGCTTCAGTGTTAGCAACTACTAAGACATTGAATTGCATCGTGTGCTGAGCTCAGTTGGGGAGGGAGGTATGATCTCCACCTGCCAGCATTACATCATCGGCCCTTCCCCAAAATTTCTAGGCCAGGATCAAGAATGCATTAGCTTACCTTCCCTGTAAAGAATCCCTAACCTGATCGATCGCCTGTAAGTCTAGCAGTCTCGTAGCAAGCTTCGTCACTCGCTTCTGAAGAGCTCTGTTGGCGGACGAACACATTGTGAGATTTCGGAATCGCTTCATTCTTTTCCATCATCTTCTTTCGTCTCGTCTGCACCAATTTCTACTACCCGCAGAAGCTGCTGTTGTATGCGACCCAATGTCTGTGCTGAAATCGCTGTCGTGATCGTGTCCCACCTTCGGCAACGCGCCGGCTAGGCACTGCCCACTTGGTGGCTTTCCCAACCAACTTCGTCATCTAGGCGGAAGCCCACTACTAAATACTCTTCACCCTCTGGCCAGGCAAGGCTACTGTTTGAACCAACTCTGCCCGAGCAACCTTAGCTTCCGTTTCAAACCTACAAGTCTCTGCATGTTTACTACTACTCGGAAGCTCTTTTCGCTATGCTGAAGCTCTGCTTTAGCTGCCATGCCCAAGATCAAGACACGCAGCTCGCGCAGAGTTCCGGGGCTGAAAGACGATGACTATGATCATGAAATCACCCTCGTCGACCACTCGGCGTCCGCTGCCACGTCCCGAGCCTTGTCCCCAGAGTCTGGAGAAGGTCGAGCCTCAAGCCCCTCAGCGAATCCACCCAGTCCTGAGCCTGGACCGTCCACGTCTCGCCGAACACCTACGCAGTCGCCAAGACTCTCCGTTGACCGTGCGTCCTCAAAGTCTTCAAAGTCTTCCAAGTCCTCGAGGGGCAGGTCGTCGTCATCTCTTAAAAAAGGACCATCCGTTCAGGTAGAAGGTAAATCATATTGGACCTCCTACACGAGACGGCAGTTGTTAACGGGCCAGCAGAGCCAACACCACTAGATCGACAGCCTGTGATCCTGCGGCAACATAGTCGAAAGAAGCCTGCGTCACCCGAATCAGCAATTGACATACTTTACGAAAACGAACGAGGTGGCTTTCTCTGCGGCCTCCCCTTATTCTCCTCCAAAGCTTTAGGGAACCTCGATCCACCACCATGGACGAATTATGCCCACAAGCCGAGCCCGACGGACACAAATACAGCACAAGTCCCAGATCCTAGTTGGGAATGGGTCTGGCCGGATTGGAGGGTAAATCATGACGAGGGCGTCGACGAGAACGGCTGGGAGTACTCCTTCATGTTTTCCAAGAAATTCTCCTGGCACGGCCCAAGCTGGTGGAACTCGTTCGTAAGGAGACGTGCGTGGATTCGAAAGCGAATAAAGAGGGAATCGGTCAAGCTGACGGACCCTCATCTCCTCAACACGCAGTACTTCAGCGTGCAACCGGCCTCGCAGCTCGACCGGAGTCCTAGCAGAACTAGTAGAGCCAGCAGCCGTGTCACGGGCAAAGCAAGCATGAGTCAGATGTCTCGCATCTCGACGGAAATTGAAATAGCGAAAATGGATATTGAGGACCTTGATATGTTAATGGAAGTCCTACGGATCTCGCGCATTGATCGCGAGAAGATCGAGGCGGTGGAGAGTTACCTCGTGCATAACACCGACGAGCTGGCGGAGCTCGAGAAGGAAATGCATGAGATTATGGCAATATTTGTTTTCCAAGCATCGCGAAGGGTTCTTTTAACGAAACTTACAGAAGCATATGATCACGCTGTCAAGGATCAAAAGGAACACGATACGGCAGAACTGCGCCGCAAGGCGGAGAACTTGAAAGCGGCTATCAAGCATGGAGATGAAGAAATAAGGAGATTGGAATACTGGAGCGATGTGAAAGGGATGGTGAATAGTGGCCAGACGAGAACGGCTGTTGATAAGAACAAAGGCTGGGATGATAGCTGGCAGGGGCTGGACCATAGCGGTCCGGCCGAACCAGACACAACTCCTTCCAAAGAGTAGGATAATATAATATACGCCTTCGATACCCAGTTACTGAATATCGCTTCTGTCATCAGTGATTCTCAAGTGATCATTGTCAATTTTCCGTTAATATCTTATCTGGTCTGTAACCTAATGGCTAATAGACTAGCTCCGCCCATTCTTCTTTTTAGAGAAGAGGACCAGCTAACCTATACCAGAGCCAATATCTAGCGACTTTCTTGATATTTGAACCGCGTCTTTACTTCTACACAGCCCAAGGAGGCATTCAATCTTCCGTACGCCAACCTGGGGTCTATTCATGGCAGATTCTCCTCGCCCTCTAGAATTCGAACACCTAGCTCTGGAGACATACTCCATTCTCAGGGGCTGGTGCTCTATGCCCGGCCGCCGCGCTTGGGTCGTTGACCTCCGCCTAAGGCGCTGCTAAAGCCTCCTCGGCCACGATTGCTGCCGCCTCCACCGCGTGGCGGGCCCTGGCCTTGGTAGCTCTGACCTTGCCCCTGCCCTTGTCCCTGTCCCTGTTGACGGCCGCCGCCGGGGCCGAAGAAGCTCTGCATTTGCTGCTGGTTGTTATCCCTTGCAGGCAGCTGGTCACGACGCGGGCGGCCTCGTTTGGGGTTCGGATTGTTGTTTTGCTGACCGGCCGGACGCGGTGGAAGCGTGGCATGACCCGGGACCGGTGCAGGCGGCGGTGGTCCGGGTGGCAGGGGAGGGTTTACTGGCGCATCGGCTGCCTGCTTTGGCCTGCGCGGCCGTCCGCGTTTGGTCTTCCCGTTTCGCAATACTATCGCGTTCTGGTCGTCCGCCGGGCCCCGAGGGGGGTTGAAGGCCTGTGCGTTTGGCTGCGAGTTGAAGTCTATGTTCGACGAGATTCGAATCTGCCCCGGACCCTGCTGCCTCTGCACAGGCGCCTTGATGAAGGCGTTCTCTGCTTCGTCGTCGCTATCGTCGAAGAAGATGTGTGTCTGCGGGACGATGCTTCGGCCAGGGATATTAGGTCGGTCAGGGGCTGCCGTCACAACAGGAAGAGGACTCTCGTAGACGAGCGCGACGAAAGGGCTCTCGGGATCAATGTACAGATCTAGACTCCGCTTCGTCCAGGTCTCTTTCGGATTGTTGTCATACCTGTTAACCTGTATACCACAGTCTCCTCCATAGTGGCCCTCTTGGCCACAGCTGTAGCAGAAGACGGGAAGCTTGTTGACCTTGCGAATGCTATCTGTATCCGGGTGGTAGCTTCGCCAGATTTCAGGACAATTGTCCTCGAAATGGTCAGCGCCCTGGCAGAATGCGCATTCAATGAAACCCTCCTCGCCAGGCGCCAGAGCCAGCTTCTCCTTGCAGCTGGCCTTTGTATGGCCGAGTTGCTGACATTTCCCACAGCGTCGGCGCGAGGGACACTCATAGAAGAAGTGTGCTTCTTGACAGAATTTGCAGGTCTTGTCAGGACAAGCATCCTCGCGATGGCCCAGTGAAGCGCAGGTAAGACAGAACTCAGCATCGTCCGCAATGCCCGGATAGTAGCGGTGAATCAGAGAGTGGCCTTGCTGAGGGGGGCCATGGTGGCTTTCCGTCATCTCAATGTCTTGAGATCCAACGGGCCGTGCGATCTCAGGAATCGATTCAACCTCGCCTTCCTCAATTTGCGCAGTGGTTGCAGGTTTTGGTGCATTTTGTGTCGATACCTGAGGATCACCTAGAGCTGTGATAACAAGACCACGTAGTTTGCCCTGGCTCCTGTAGTCTGTAGCAGCGGCCTTGATATTCTTGCGAAAGGTCTTCGACAGGGTAGGAAGCTGCTCGGTATAATGTTGGTACGCATCCCAAACAAATCGCTCAACCTTAACGGGCGAATTGCGAAGGTGCTGCTTGTTGGCTGCGAGGAAATCTCTGCACCACTCTTCGAACTTCAGGCTCCAGTTCAGGAAGCGGCCAACTCCGACCTGAAAGTCAGAACTGAGAGCTGGTAGGGCCCATGGATGTCTGTCGCGAACAAACGGTTTGATCTCTTTTAGTGTGAGAGCTTGAACGGCGATCTCTATTTTCTGGCGATCTTCGAGCGTGAGAGGTTTGGTCCCTTGTCGCTCCGCCTTTGACTGCGTCGGAAGCTCAGAATTATCCATATCGGCAGTATTTTCCGGTGGAGAATATGCTGGGGATTCTGAGTTTCCACGCGTGTCGTTTGAGGGGTTTGTGACACTCTTGTCAGACTCCGCTGTTGGTGTTTGTGTCGGCGAGGCGTTCGCAGCCTGGAAGCTAGAGGAGAGGTTTGTTTTCCCTGTCTGCTTGAGCTTAGGCAAACCCAAGCCCGAGGAAGCACCAAACGACGTCCTCAACCCACTACTGACACCCTTGTTCCAGCCTTGAGGTACCTTGGGCGGCTCAGACATCGCGTGTGCAGGTTCTTCCTCTGCATCCTCTTCTTTATCTGACTCGGCATTTTCTTGCTCATCATCACTACTCGAGCTGGACTCGATAATCTCGCCCTCATCAACGTCATCAGAAACAGACTTGGCATCTAACGATTCTAGCCTTGCCCTTTTACGAGGGAAGGTAGACGTTCGACCCTGGTCTGAGTCGTCAGTCGCCTCGCCACTCTCCAGCTCTGAATCATCTTCAGCCGCCCGTTTCTGTGACGTTGAATCCGGGATATCAAGATCTTGACCCACGACCGATTCCTGGGCGTCCGCCAAAGAAGGCTCCTGTTCTGCCACAGTGTTGTCTACCATCATGAAGACTAGTCATACACATGCGGCTAATTTTTGACAGAGCAATGGTACTGTAATAAAGTTCGGCAAAAACGATTCCTCTCGTATGCTGAACCACTGCTCTTGACGATAAGGAAAAAATTCTCCCGCGGTACACCAGTGCCGGGCAAAGCACAAACGGCTTTACGCTCCTGGCCTCTCCCACTGCAAAGGGAACCCTTCACCACTCCAGGCTCAATAATTACAGTCCGACAAGGCTGTTGATCATGACCAGGTCCACAAAGGATCCCGAATGACGAGGCTGCAGGCAAGGCTGCGGCTGTGGGCCGCTATCGCTATGCTCCCTAGACTGGGACGGCCGCTTGCACGACCGATGGGCAGAGAATTGATGGGTAGTGGCCCGAGCTGTCGTGGCCGGTCCGCGGGCGCCGCTCCAAAATTGAAGAACGAGACGTCACGCCGACACGCCAGGCACAGGCAAATTTCTTCGAAAGTGAGACCACCGCGTCGCAAACGTAGCAGATCGGCTCTACTGCGGCCAGCGTTTCTCGAGCCTGACAGTTCAGATTTGGCCAGATCAGGGCAGTCACTGCAGTACTACCTTCTCGTTCTGAAGAAAGGCAGGGCCACCTGCAGCACGGTGTCCAAGTCAAGCCAAGTCAAGTCAAGTCAAGGGTATTTCTGTATGTAGAAATATGGGCCATGGCTTTCTAGAAGATTGCGTTTTGACATTGCCATCGGAAATTGCTATTGGCCTATGCGCCACATAGTTGGACCTGCAGCTCGCAGCTAATCACTATCAAATGCCAAGCTGGCACTCCAGGGCTGTTGAGATTCAGTATTCGCGGAATGCCTCTCGCTATAATGACTTTAAGCCAACATATTTTGTCTGTATTTCTGTGCGTCTTCTCCTTTATATGTCCCTTTTGAGTATTTCGAACGGAGAGCCAAATCGGTAATGTGTTACGAGTTCCTTGCTTCAACAAGAGACCCAGTGCTGTGTCAGGGATGCCACCACGTCCCAGGACGACAAGCGTACCGAAATTCGGCAAGTTGCATAGCCCCAAAGGTCCTCCACAGAATCCTGTTAGTGCAGGCACGATTGGGTACCTTGCAGGCCCCCTTGTTTCCTGCCAGATTCGGGTACTCCTCAACTCTTGTACAAACATCGGTGGTCTGAATCCCCGTCCTCCCCAACCTAGACTCTAGGGCCTGCTTCAGTAGCCCCAGCGAGACATCGGCAGCCAGTCGCAGTAGACGTAAATGATCTGGCCTGAAATGGCCTGCGCGGCCACCGTGACCTGTTGTTGAGCTTGGCCCCCCCGGCTACACCTAGGTAGGAGGCACCTGGGCAGCATAACTGTCTACTAATAACCAAACGCGGAAGGGCATCCAAATGTCTCTCTCTCCTCTTCCCCTCCACACTCTGCGAGACTCCAAGTCGCTGCATCACAACTGCTGCTTCTCATTTCTCTTCTAGTCTCTCGCTATCTACTGTTTACTGTATGTCTATGTGGGTGTGTGGCAGGTAAGCTGTGCCCTTCCAATTCGAGCTGTGGGAGGCGTGCGCTGTGCGAGGCGCGGGACGGACAGACAGAGAGACACCTCACCCTTTGCATTACCTCACCTCCACTAGCTACCTTCCGTGCCTCACTCTCGACTCCCCCGACTCCGCTGCAACTCGTGTTTGTCTCAACGAAACACCAGCTTGGAACTTCTCCTTCCCACACCATCGCCCGATTGAACCTCCACCGACGGCTGTGCAGTCGGACACGCAATGGGCTAACCACTTTTATCTACTCAGTCATCCTTAACGACATCGTTTTTCTCCCCCTCTCCCAAGAACGAACGAACAGCAAAGCAGCCGGGACCCCTTTGTCGACCGCCTCGTGACATCATCTCCCATATTACAAGACAGCATCTCTTCATCCTCGCCCTTTGGACATTGATTGTCCCTCAATCAACCCCCATCTCAACGATACCCGGCCAACACCGCCAAACTGTCTTCCCCAATCCTCCTCCAGCGCACTGTCTCCTACGACGCCGGCACCAAACAGCCGCGTCGAGGCAGCATCTACATGATGGCCGACACCAAGGCAAACCGTCGGAGGAGATCTAGTAGTATTCTCCAGGTCTACCATGAACCGCCTGAGAGCATCGAGCAGCTCAACGACCAGTCCACCCTTCCCAATCTTAACGCAAACTGGGTGAATGCCAAAGGTTAGTCCCCACGCCCACAGAACAGTCGCCCGGACCAGCTTGGTCGAGGAGGATGCTAGGGCCCCCCCAATCCTCCTCCGTCCGCTCCGGTTTGCCCTATCCTGCTTACCTGCATCCCACCTCGGAATTCGAAGGCTGACAGAGCTCGCTCCTTACAGGCGCATGGACCATCCACATTGTTCTGATATGCCTGCTCAAGGTCCTCTACGATATCATCCCCGGTGTCTCGCAGGAGACGTCATGGACCCTAACCAATATTTCTTACATGTTTGGGTCATACATCATGTTCCATTGGGTCCGAGGCGTGCCTTTCGAGTTCAATGGAGGAGCCTATGACAATCTGAACATGTGGGAGCAGATCGACGATGGCGCTCAGTACACTCCGGCCAAGAAATTCCTCCTCAGCGTTCCAATCGTGCTTTTCCTCCTCAGCACCCACTACACACACTACGACTTGACATACTTTACAATCAACTTCCTCGCCGTTTTGGCGGTAGTCATTCCCAAGCTGCCTTTTGTGAGTGTCAAAGCTACCCGCCTCCTAACTTTGCGGTTGCTAACAGGCTTTGCTCAGAGCCACCGCATGAGGGTGGGCCTCTTCTCGGGAGTGCCAGACGAATGAGGGTGAGGGGCGCTGCATTCGGTTCATATCAGGCGTTCGGATTTATGGATTTGGTAAAGATTGGAGTTGTCGAATGGCATGTAACAGCGAAGCATTAGGCAAGACCGTCCAGATGCGAAGTACAAAAGGAGCGACAGCGAGGGCGTGCAGACCTGAGAAAAAAACCTTGACCATCTGTCGATTTGAGTGGAGTCACGGTGGCGCAAGTATGTAACAAAACAGACACCCTTGGTCAGTATGGACGCTGTTGAGGCGATGTGAGTTTCCCATAAGGTTCAGAGTGGTCAGTGAAGCTTCGACAGGTGCAGCTGGCCTGAGAGCTGGCCATGAACGTTCAGAGAGTAGATCACAAAAATAGCACCACAGCTTATACTAAACTCAACGCTCTGATTATTGAACCGTTCCAAACGCCCGTCTTCAAACCTTTCTATCTAACGTGCGAAGCTTAGGACGCCTCGCGAAGCATCTTTTGGCTGGTGCTTCTGTCAAGAATTGATCCATTCACTGATTGTGTTGCGTAAAACCACGGCACAACAGTGTTCTACCTCACAGGCCAAAAGCCTTCCGGTCCAGAGTTACCAACAAACTTCAACACTCAACACTGTCTAACCGGGTGCCAAACGCCGTGATGGACAGAAACTGGAATCATATAAGGGCAATGTGCCAGATCAATGGCTCTCGTCTGTTTCCTCATCCATTCTTTCCATCTTTGGACGAAGGTCTGATTTGTTGCCCTCTGTCTGAAGGCCACTCGCTTGTGCCCTCCTAGTCGGTCGCTACCCTTTGCGTTGCGAGCTTGACATCATGAAGATCACACCGGTTGTCTTGTCACTTATCCTTGGCCGCTTGGCCGAGGCGCGTGCTCCCAGAGCCTTGTGGGCTCGCCAGACGGAGGCACCCGAGATCCCCGAGGTCTCGTCCAGCGCCTCTCCAGAGCCTCCGGCTCCGCTCCCTACTACTCACACTTCTGTGAAGAACCCCTTCGACCCGCCTGTCAAGAGCCCGTTGGCTCCCAACCCACTGGTTGGTGTTCCGCCCGTCCAAGTGACTGAGGACGACGTCGCGGCGGCAACTATCACGCCGGCGGCTGAGTGGCACGAGGAGCTGGTGGTCGAGGAGGAGCTTTACGAAGACTGCGACGACGACGATGAATGCAAGACCAAGACCCGACATCACACTCGCACCATCATCGTGCCCATCCCCAAGGGCTGGAAGACGTGCACCGTCAGCGAGACCGTGACCGTCTGCGACCCATACCCCTATCCTCCTCCTCCCCCTTGCGAGGGTCCTGGGCCATGCCCTCCACCATTCCCAGGGCCTCACCCTCCTCCTCCTCTTCCACCGTTCCCGCATCATCACCATCATCATCACCATGAGCACGATCATGGTCATGATCATGACGATGGCGAATGTGACGAGGACGATGATGACTGCGAGGATGACAAGGAGTGCAAGAAGGGCTATATCCGCCTTTGCTTGCCCGGCCGCGGCTGCCAGTGTTACAAGTGGTGGCCCTTCCCCACAGACGAGGACAAGGATGATGACGACTGCGACGATGATGATGAAGAGTGCAAGGAGGAGCACGAGCATCACCACCACCACCACCATCATCACCATGAGGACCACGATGATGACTGCGACGAGGATGACGATGATTGCGCCACCAGCATCGAGGAGGAGAACACCAGCCCGACCCGTCTGCCTTGCAAGGACGGCGAGTGCGATGATGAGGACGACGACGATGAGGAGGACGAGCACCACCATCACCACGAGGAGCACCATGAGGAGCACCACGATGATGAGGATGACTGTGAGGATGACTGCAGCTCAACTCCTTCTGCTACGCCAACTGCCACCCCTGCTCCTCCGGCTCCTGTCAAGCCAGCTACTGCCAAGCCGAACACTGCAAAGCCGAACACTGCTAAACCGGCCACCGCCACCGTCACTGCTGCTGCACCCACTGAAACAGAAGAGGATGAGCTTGACATTGATATTGAAGTCGAGTGCAACTGTAACACCTGCCCCTGCCCAGAAGAGACCGGCTCTGCTGGCTCTGGAGGCTCTGGTGGGTCTGGTTCAGGAGGATCAGGCTCCGGCTCAGGAATGCCTTCTGGATCTGGTTCTGAGTCTGGCAGCGGCTCGGGCTCCCCATCTGGCTCTGGCTCCGGCTCAGGCTCAGGTTCCGGCTCCCCATCTGGCTCCGGCTCAGGCTCAAGCCCCGGGACTGGCTCTGGCTCTGGAAGCGGCTCTGGAAGCGGTTCGGGATCGGCTGGCGGCGGTGAGAGTGGCAGTCCCGAGACAGTCCCCGTCTCTTCTGCCAACAAGCTTTCTGTCGGCATTGCCCTTGTCGCAGGCCTTGTCCTTGCTCTATTCGCATAGACGTGCATCGCGATCATTCTCTCTATCATCTTGTCTGTTTCGTTCTGTATTACTTGGGTTCAGTGTCAACCGCCGAGCTCCAGCGCCGATCTCCGAGAAAGCTTTGACAGGCATATTATCGGGGTCGTCATCGCGGGTGTGGTTATTTTGAGGAATCAGATGGAGATAAACTCTTGAACACAGACAGTAATAATAATTTCCTAGCTACTTTCCCTATAAAAGACTGAAATGAATGTGGACTTGTGAAGGCTTGTTTGTTAGTGGAAACCACGCCCGAAAACATTAATCAAGCTCATGTGAGTGAGACTACATCTCAAATGTTGTGTCTTTTGTTTGTTATGTGATGTAGTTCAAAACCCCATCAGTATAACAGTTTCAAAACTAACTATTAGCAAGCTATATCAATATTGTCAGACCTTGAGCTGTGCATGGCAGGTGAGATAGGAATCGGTTCCACGCAGACGCTTTGCGTTTCCTGATAAGATAATGTGTTAGTTAGCGGGCTGAGATGACTGATTCGTAACTCCGCACAAGCTCCTAATGGAGACACCAGATTGGTTCGATTTAGTTTGATTTCACATACAAATTCTAGAAGCATTGAATAGACTCATTCTTTCGGCCGAGCTGTAAGTCACTAAGATGCACGCGTGGATTGTATCGGCACGTCGTTTCGCCGCCGTAAGGTGCGGGACAACGACGGCCTACGGGTAGCACGTCATGGGGCCGGCCTCATGTTATGTTACTGATTTATTGCCGAATTGAGGCTTCCGATGTCGACACACTATCTTTGCCTGAGTGACTTTTCCGAGATTTCATCTACCCAACCAGCTTGGATCGAGACGATTCCAATTGAGGACAAAGCTGTAAGACATTCTGCTCGGCAGCATTCATAATTCATCCCCAACTACCTATATCAATCGTGGGACCCCGCCAAGAACCAGCGACGTCGGACTCTTGTGACTCAAACTTGCAAGAGTGAGCAAGTTACCTTCTGGGAAGGAGCGTTCGTCGTTCAGCTTCATCATCGTGACGGTTGAGCAATTTTAATTCAAAGCTTTCTGTTCATTCGCAGTTCCTCCTCTCAGGAAGCCCAACTTCTTACTCCTCTCCACCGTCGCGACAAACGCAGAAGCCAACAAAAACAAAAGAATAAGACGCAACCGTCAAGATGAAGGATAATCTGACTGTCCTCTATCCTAACCCGGAGACCTCTCAGAAGGTGGCTGAGTACTCGGTGTCCAAATCTTTAGTTTTACCTGAGTACATTCGCCGCTATCATGAGTACGGACTGACCACGAGCGTCCCGGACTACATGATCAGCACCTACCAGGGCAGCTTCCTGGTTTGGCTTGCTCGCACTCTCGGTGCCAAGCGAAGTCAGTAGACCAGATACTCTTGACTGTCTCTCATGACAACTAACATATTATTGCAGTTCTCGAGGTCGGTGTGTACATTGGTTTCTCTAGCCTGTGCTGGGCACATGCTGCTGGCCCTGACGGCTTCGTGACTGGTCTCGAGTATTCTGAGGAGTATGCCAATCAAGCCCGTGCTGCCTTCGAGAAGAATGGTGTAAAGAACGTTGAGGTTGTTGTCGGAGACGGACTTGAGACGTAGGTTTTGAACCCTATTGCATTCCTTGCAATACGCACCCTTTCGTGGCATTCTCACTATCTCTGTTGCATGCTGATATGTCTACTGCTCAGGATCTCCACTATCGACCGCAGCAAGTCCTACGACTTGATTTTCATCGACGCACAGAAGACGGGCTACCCGCGCTACCTTGAGCTGATCTTGGAGCACTCGCAGCCAGGTGCGGCCAACCGTCTCCTGAAGCCGGGCGGTGTCATCGTTGCTGACAACGTTCTGCGCCGTGCGACTGTCGCCGACCCAACCCCGAACAACCCCCATTATGTTCGAGAGATTGAGAAGAACACGATCGAGGGCACCAAATCGAATCTTGAAGGTCTGCACAAATTCAACGACAGGGTAGCCAACGATCCGCGCCTTGAGGGCTTTCTCCTGCCTCTGTTCGACGGGCTTAGCTTGGCTCGACTGCTGGACTGAGAAATCACCCTAGAAGACTTGAGCTTTTAGACGAGTGATTCAAATCAAGTGTTGTTAAGCATAGATTGCTTCGGGGTGTCTTTACAATTGACCATTAACAATAAAGATGGCTGTGGCTTTGAGACTACACAGTCTTTCCGAAAGAATTGATGTTAGCTTACCTTCATAAAACGACATCAACAAAAGTCGCTCAGCAGAGTCGTTGTGATTCATATTCAGTGAGGCTCATAGGGACTTCTATGTAGCTCCGGAAACTAAGGTAGTCCACCCTTTAGCGGGAGGTGACAAAGAATAGATCTGACTTCCATTGATACTCAAGGCTGAACTTTTTACGTAACCCGATCGCGAGGCTGACAAGATGGAGCAAAGAATGATCTATATAGATATGGAGGATTGTAAAAATCAGGCTATAATATCTCGAGCCTTTAGAGGAAACAGGCACCTGATGATGAATGTGATTCTTAAATGCAAACCCTGGATATGCCCCTGAATGGCCCAGGCCCAGTGGAACTGCAGAGTGAAAGCTTGGTCCTCAGCGTGGACTATGCGGCCACCTTGACAACATTACGAGGCCAATATTTAAGCCAGATAAACAAAGACGCTTGCTCAACGAAGAAAAAGGACATTTCGAACAATCTCTTTCAGAATCGAGTGAACAATCTCTTTGCAAGCGCTGAACAGGCGGTTGTTCAACCAGGATGGAAAGATATAAAATGGCCTTATTGTTGTTTGCAGTACGGAAAGGTTCCATTTTGGATCATCAGTCTAGACTTCTGCGATCTTAGCAACCACTATCACCTTGATCTTTGAAGTCGACACCGTAGGTCTTCAAATTGCCTACTTGCCGTGCCCCTTTCCCGCGCCAGTGGACCTCAACCCGGCTTCTACGACAGCCCCGACACAACCACGCCAGGATAGTGACCTAGTCATTATCGTTATCTTCGACTTGTTCTCATTTCATTCCGTGACGCGGTGATCATATTCTTCGCTATGTGTCAACGCACTAGCGTCTACCACCAAAGATGCGGGTGCTATTCGGAGAAGACAACTCTCCCCTGCGCCATCGGCCTCGTCGCCACACCAGATCGGTGTCCGCATCTCGAGACACCTCAGGGCGTCGAGAGGGACGATGTGAACCTGTGCGTAAGCTGCTCCCGCCTCGAGGCGCAGAGGGAACGCCTGGGAAGCAGCTCTGACGATGATGTAGAGCTGGTGAGCCGCGCCATTGCCTGTGCTAGGAAAGCTCGACGGTGAGCTTATCCGAGGTGAATATTAGGGCGCCTGAGCCTTCCGCCCTAGTGGCGTTGAGGTAGTCCCCATTGTAGTGATGTTGTGAGACGAAGTACTTGCTCACTGGAGCGAATCATTCCTTGATGCCCATTGATGCCGCCAAAGCCACTATTACAGCCATCGATATTGATCTCAGCGAAGGGCAGAGAATTCCCGACAGGGCTAAGGTCAACCTGTAGAATCCCCGAACGTCATGTTCCCCATGGCCCTGCGACGACTGTCAGCCGGTCTAAGTCGCTGCTACAACTTGCACTTGATGTTACAGACGGAAACAAGTCTACCTCAGTAAGTTCAACGGGAAGTTGTAGCCGCTGATAACGAGGCGGCTGCAACTTAAGAATTAGTGTCTACGTTGCACTACTTCAAAGGTAAGCTTACAGAGTAAGTTATGGTCGTACATTGTGACAGTCAACATTAACTTAACCACTGGCTTGCTTCACAGAGCTCCCACGACCCGGCTGACATTGGGTAATACAAGCGTAGGTTTTCCATTCGGACCTGTGTGTTCTTAGTTTCGTAGATACAATAAATAAAATCGAAATTCCATGAATGTTGGTGGTTTTTACTTTCTATAGGAGTTATAGTTAAAATCTGAATTCGAATTACATTTAAAATGGAGCTACACTTTCTGAACAACCCAAATTAACTATCCGTCTTTCATGTTAGTGACCGTGGGAAACAGCTGTGCCATTTGGGTTGAGCACATTGTTTCCGTTTGCCACATGGGTTGCAACAACGCACCATTCCGGCTTTGAGCCGGGTGAGCGCATCAAGTTGCAACGGCGCATATCCAGACTCCTGGTCCTCATCCAACAATAGTCCCAGCCACGACCGATACTGTCACACCGCAGACAGGCCTGTACCCCGTCAGATGCAGGCGGCGTTCGGAGCTGGAGACGGGATTGGGAAGGGTACGTATGTTGTGCACATTAGGTGCATCGAAGGATTGTGGCGGCTGGAGAAGGAAACATATCATTGTGAGAAGAGCGTGCTATAACGCGTGACTGCGGACTGCTGCAGTTCCACGCATGAGTTGTTAAAAGCACCGTACGTTCGAGATAGGTATACTGGTATACTATTCTTGAAAGTCAAGTGTGCTTAAAATACATTGATGGTTACTGTGAAATCTTCATCTGTCGAGTTGAATGGCGCACGATGATGGCAGAAGAGCACAAATTCCCTTAACTACATTTATCCTACCTATCGTGTCGGTTATGTCCTTAGCATGTTCTCTTCAACTGCGTATATCCGCTTGAGGGCAAAACAACTAGCAGTGCCACTCAAAGTAGCCGTCAAACGGAAGACTTAGGACCGGACGACACAAAAGTCATAGAGCAATGGGCGGCAACACCGGGATTTTCCTTTTTGTTCCGATTAGGAACCGTGCAGACGGGCGGGTGCCCGCGAGACTTTGTACTCAAGTTGAAGACAAGCACCTGTCCCCGAGGAGAAAGGGTTGGACGGAAGTCGACCTTGTCCGACGTGGAAGCAAGCAGGGGTTGTCTCAAAGCCTCGGCAGCGGCGAATTCCTGAAACCGGCGGACGAGGACCATACTCTTGGGATCAATGCATGAACAAGAAGGTATAAGACCAAGCGTTCTTCAGGGACATGTTTGGTTATGCGTTTCTCTGATCTGAGAGCCAGCATCGGTCTGATCTCGATATTTTCAGATGAGGTCACAGGGGTACGTTGCTTTGGTCAGGCCGGCACTGCACGGCAACCTACGGTGATATGCAAGGGCCACGACAAACCACACTTCTGAGACTACATGTTGTTGAAGACGCGACGCGGACAAGCATTGACCTGCTAAAATGAGGCATGTTCGTACCTAGATTAGGCAGGTCACGGCGTGATGTGTGGCGGCGCCGCTTGATGTGATGAGTTGGAGAAGCGGGAGAGCAAAAGCAAACAAAGGCCGTCATTGTATCGACACCTTGACTGTTCGAGGCTCGGCGAACACACAACACCATCCATCTGTTCAATATAGGAAATTTGGGGAACCCCTGAGCGGACGGAGATTTCTTTTCAGACTTGTGCTGTTTTCCCTGGCATTGGGCAGCGTCGGCAAAACAATTGCCATTGTCCAACCTCATACAAGAGATATTAGGCAAAGTAGCCGCAAATCATTGTAAGCCAGACGGGGGCGCCACCAATTCGTTTGAGGATTACATCTATGTACGCGCTGCAATTTATCCAGAAGACGAAACACCTATAGCAGCGTGGCATATTTCAAGCCATATCACAGCATGTAATATAGCCCTCTCAGCTCCATTATTATCAGCAGCGTCGTGCAATTCTACTGTGGCAGCCCTATCAAACCCGCGATGATCGACGCCCAGGGTTGTTTGCTTTTGCGGCGGCCCTCTACGGTGACGACACACGGAGTTTGGCTGGGTGTGGTTCTTCTCTCCCTGCCGCCTCTCTTTGACATCTGATTTGGCTTTTTGAGTTTTAACCTTGACTTGTGCGTCTTGAAACAAACGCCTCGCTCATTTCGCGCCAGGTGCTGATCGGCCAAGAGGAAAGAGCAAACAGCCACCGTGAGAGACGTGGACGAATGGATGGGCGTGACTGGGCGCTCCAGGTCCAGATGTGATGGATGGATGCAGCGGGCTGGGCGCGGATGGCTTTATTGGGAACACATCTTCATCACAGGTGGAGGGAGGAAAGATCTGATTGCGCCATAGCCTCGCTCTCTGTTCGGCGCTCAGAGGCTCCCCTGGGGCAGGTCGATCGAACGCTAATGCCCTGCTCGGGTCAGGAAGACGCCATCTCCGTCAGTCGCCTGCAGCTGAGCTGTCAAGGCGCACCTTCCCAAAGCTTGCGGTGATGGACAAGGAGGAGTGAGACATTGGCTTCGGAAGAGAGTCCCGTGGATTTTCTAGGTGGGTTGAATGTGTGGGACAACAGCAGCTCAATTTTTCAGCTTCGAGTGTGCGGCCGCGAGGAGGCCGATAGACATAAGAAGCAGAGACGAGCGCATCGCTTGTAATCCAGTTGGCAAGTCTGCGTCCAGTCGACCCAGGCCGTCATCTTGTTGGTAATGTTCCTCTGTCTTCGATTGGAGGTTCTGTTGTGGCGCTTGCTAGATAAGGTCGGGAGGTGGTGGACAGCCAATGTCTGTGCAGCTGCACGTGTGCCACCGACTCAATCAAAGCGCCAGCGACGATCCCCCAGACTTCTCATCCGGCTGTCAGGTCGTTCCGGTTGTGTGTGTCAATATCAAGCCTAGGTTGATGGGATATTAGTCGAGCAATTATACCTATATCAATAAATGTGTGTGTGGAAATAAGTAAGACCTATGATACCTAAAGAGCTAGAGTTATATTCTGGTGAATCTGGCCGTACAAAGTCGGCGGTAAGCAGGACGGATCGCTTGCACATCGGTACCTTGCAGATGACTATCTTATGGGAGGGCAATAATGTATATGATAATGCCAGGATGAGTGAGGCAATAAGAGCATTCCAGGATCCTCTTTTGCTCTTTGAGTTGATTTGCTCCCGTGAGAAAACAACAAGCCCATCGATACATGCTTCCATGGCCCGGACTGGTAGTATACTGGTAGTATGCCGAGTATGCCTAGGCATTCCCTTGCTTACTTCGCATGCGACTCGATCTTTTGGTTTGGCGGCCCGTCGTTTCGATTGTTGGCAAGACCAAGGTCTAGGTCAGGCTATTTCCAACGAGGCGAAACGCCTTTCAGTTGGC